AATTGCTTTAGATCAGTGTCCTTTGTACGTTGAAATACTATATATTGTGAAAGACAAAATGATGTATCAAGGATCAAGTAGAAGATACATTGACCGTTGCGCTGGGAGTTTATTCAACAGACCGTGAAAATAACACTGCTGTATCTTATTATTTATTTTAGATGATGCAGGCAAAGCTCACTTCTCCTGGCGGCCATTATCAAACGGCCAGCTAAAACACAACCCCGCGCTTACGTCTACAGGTCTCTTCCTGTAGTACGGTAATTAGTATTCTCTCCCTCAAGTGTATCCTCAATGATATAACCCACCCTCATTAATTACATGCTGCTCTTTTCCAGCCTCACGGCTATGGAGCTGTGATAAAGAGTCCAAGTCATCATAAAGTAATTAGGGTCCAATAAAAACAATGCGCCGCCAAACCTCATACATATTATCACTGAAAGTCGTACTACAGACGGTTAATGTCAGATCACAATAAAAGCATTTCAATTGCAATAACATGTTCCAGGACCATGTATTCTCTTAACACCATCGGATTTAGAAGCAATGGTCGTATAAAACAAAACAGATCTATTTAATCGCAACAGTATTCATGTTATTCCCACAAAATCACATAAAGAAAGGAGACATTAGGAAATACATGTGTATTATCATTTTTCGTCAGGATAACACAATTTTCTCTCCTTGTTACCACCTCCAGGTTCAGCTTAAGACGGGTCCTCCTTTGGTCAAAAGTTTGTTCCCCCTCTAATGAGTGTGTCACGCGTTGCACACGAGTGGCGGACGGGGTGCACACCCGTGTGCAACGCGTTGCACACGGGTCTCACACGCGTGACCAACCCGATGCACACTGGTTGCGTAACGCGTTGCCCATGCGTGTAAGGGGAATGAACTTCTAGGCAGTAGTGTAGCATGTGTTATACTGACATAGCATGTGTAATACTGACAATACATGTGTTATACTGACATAACATGTGTTATACTGAAGTGGCAGGTGTCATAATGACAAAGCATGTGTTATACTGACAAAGCATGTGTTATACTGACATACCATGTGTTATACTGACAAAGCATGTGTTATACTGACATAGCATGTGTTATACTGACATAGCATGTGTTATACTGACATAGCATGTGTTATACTGGCAAAGCATGTGTTATACTGACATGGCATGTGTCATACTGACATGGCATGTGTCATACTGACAAAGCATGTGTTATACTGACAAAGCATGTGTTATACTGACATAGCATGTGTTATACTGACATACCATGTGTTACACTGACATAGCATGTGTTATACTGACATAGTATGTGTTATACTGGCAAAGCATGTGTTATACTGAGAAAGCATGTGTTATACTGACATAGCATGTGTTATACTGACATAGCATGTGTTATACTGACAAAGCATGTGTTATACTGACAAAGCATGTGTTATACTGACATAGCATGTGTTATACTGGCAAACCATGTGTTATACTGACATGGCATGTGTCATACTGACAAAGCATGTGTTATACTGACAAAGCATGTGTTATACTGACAAAGCATGTGTTATACTGACATAGTATGTGTTATACTGACATAGCATGTGTAATACTGACAAAATATGTGTCATACTAACAAGGCATGTGTTATACTGACATAGCATGTGTTATACTGACATAGCATGTGTTATACTGACATAGCATGTGCTATACTGAGAAAGCATGTGTTATATTAACAAGACATGTGTTATACTGAGAAAGCATGTGTTATACTGAGAAGGCATGTGTTATACTGACATAGCATGTGTTATAATGACATAGCATGTGTTATACTGACATAGCATGTGTTATACTGACAAAACATGTATTATACTGACATAGCATGTGTTATACTGACATAACATGTGTTATACTGACATAGCATGTGTTATACTGACATAGCATGTGTTATACTGACATAGCATGTGCTATACTGAGAAAGCATGTGTTATATTAACAAGACATGTGTTATACTGACAAAGCATGTGTTATACTGAGAAAGCATGTGTTATACTGACATAGCATGTGTTATAATGACATAGCATGTGTTATACTGACATAGCATGTGTTATACTGACAAAACATGTATTATACTGACAAAGCATGTGTTATACTGACATAACATGTGTTATACTGACAAAGCATGTGTTATACTGACGTGGCATGTGTTATACTGACAAAGCATGTGTTATACTGACAAAGCATGTGTTATACTGACATATCATGTGTAATACTGACAAAGTATGAGTCATACTAACAAGGCATGTGTTATACTGACTTAGCATGTGTTATACTGACATAGCATGTGTTATACTGACATAGCATGTGTTATACTGACGAATTGTGTGTTATACTGACATAGCATGTGTCATACTGACAAAGCATGAGTCATACTGACATAGCATGTGTTACACTGACATAGCATGTGTTATACTGACATAGTATGTGTTATACTGACATAGCATGTGTAATACTGACAAAGTATGTGTCATACTAAGAAAGCATGTGTTATACTGACATAGCATGCGTTATACTGGCAAAGCATGTGTCATACTAACAAGGCATGTGTTATACCAGCAAAGCATGTGTTATACTGAGAAAGCATGTGTTATACTGACATAGCATGTGATATACTGACAAAGCATGTGTTATACTGACATAGCATGTGTTATACTGACATAGCATGTGTTATACTGACAAAGCATGTGTTATACTGACATAGCATGTGTTATACTGACATAGCTTGTGTTATACTGACATAGCATGTGTTATACTGACATAGCATGTGTCATAATGACAAAGCATGTGTTATACTGACAAAGCATGTGTTATACTTACAATACATGTATTATACTGACATAGCATTTGTTATACTGACAAAGCATGTGTTATACTGACACAGCATTTGTTATACTGACAAAGCATGTGTTATACTGACATAGCATGTGTAATACTGACATAGCATGTGTTATACTGACAAAGCATATATTATACTGACATAGCATGTGTTATACTGACATAGCATGTGCTATACTGACAAAGCATGTGTTATACTGGCAATGCATGTGTTATACTTGCAAAGCATGTGTCATACTGACAAAGCATGTGTTATACTGACAAAGCATGTGTTATACTGACATAGCATGTGTTATACTGACATAGCATGTGTTATACTGACATAGCTTGTGTTATACTGACATAGCATGTGTTATACTGACATAGCATGTGTTATACTGACATAGCATGTGTTATACTGACATAGCATGTGTTATACTGACAAAGCATGTGTTATACTGGCAATGCATGTGTTATACTTGCAAAGCATGTGTCATACTGACAAAGCATGTGTTATACTGACAAAGCATGTGTTATACTGACATAGTATGTGTTATACTGACATAGCATGTGTAATACTGACAAAGTATGTGTCATACTAAGAAAGCATGTGTTATACTGACAAAGCATGTGTTATACTGACATGGCATGTGTCATACTGACAAAGCATGTGTTATACTGGCAAAGCATGTATTATACTGACAAAGCATGTGTTATACTGACAAAGCATGTGTTATACTGGCAAAGCATGTGTTATACTGGCAAAGCATGTGTTTTACTGACAAATCATTTGTTATACTGACATAGCATGAGTCATTCTGACATAGCATGTGTTATACTGACAAAGAATGTGTTATACTGGCAAAGCATGTGTTATACTGGCAAAGCATGTGTTATACTGACAAATCATTTGTTATACTGACATAGCATGAGTCATTCTGACATAGCATGTGTAATACTGACAAAGAATGTGTTATACTGGCAAAGCATGTGTTATACTGGCAAAGCATGTGTTATACTGACAAATCATGTGTTATACTGACATAGCATGAGTCATTCTGACATAGCATGTGTTATACTGAGAAAGCATGTGTTATACTGACAAAGCATGTGTAATACTGACATAGCATGTGTTATACTGACAAAGCATGTGTTATACTGACAAAGCATGTGTTATACTGACAATACATGTATTATACTGACATAGCATATATCATACTGACAAAGCATGTGTTATACTGACATAGCATGTGTTATACTGACATAGCATGTGTTATACTGACATAGCATGTGTTATACTGACAAAGCATGTGTTATACTGACATAGCATGTGTTATACTGACAAAGCATGTGTTATACTGACAAAGCATGTGTTATACTGAAATAGCATGTGTTATACTGACATAGCATGTGTTATACTGACAAAGCATGTGTTATACTGACAAAGCATGTGTTATACTGACAAAGCATGTGTTATACTGACATAGCATGTATTATACTGACATAGCATGTGTTATACTGACAATACATGTATTATACTGACATAGCATGTGTTATACTGACAAAGCATGTGTTATACTGACAAAGCATGTGTTATACTGACATAGTATGTGTCATACTAACATAGTATGTGTTATACTGACAAAGCATGTGTTATACTGACATAGCATGTGTTATACTGACAAAGCATGTGTTATACTGACAAAGCATGTGTTATACTGACATAGTATGTGTCATACTAACATAGTATGTGTTTTACTGACAAAGCATGTGTTATACTGACAATACATGTATTATACTGACATAGCATGTGTTATACTGACAATACATGTATTATAACGACATAGCATGTGTTATACTAACATAGCATGTGTTATACTGACAATACATGTATTATAACGACATAGCATGTGTTATACTGACAATACATGTATTATAACGACACAGCATGTGTTATACTGACAAAGCATGTGTTATACTGACAATACATGTATTATAACGACATAGCATGTGTTATACTGACATAGCATGTGTTATACTGACAAAGCATCATTTTTTTGTAAGCCAATACCTTTTAACTCACTCAGGATAGGTGGCAACGATGCAATTGTACTTTTCTATATAGCTGTGACTTACATAGGCCATACTGTCATATCCCACAGAGACCATCTGTCCCTCGACGTGGGGGTTCCAGGAGATGGCCGTCACCCTGATGCTGTGCCCCTCCAGCCGGCGGATGCTGTCCGTGAGGCTGGCCACACCCTCAGACACAGAATCTAGGAGAAGTCAACACATGGAAACTATCTGAACCTTTTAGAGGATTCAAAACAAACATTATATTAAGTAAATAAAGTTGCCAACAGTCAGCAATGTTCCAGCTACATAATAATACCCAGCAGTAAGCTCTTTCAACAAGCATGAGGTGCTGGGAGCCTAGTCTGACAGGGGTCAACACAGAGGTCAAGCTGCATGAGGCCCCAAAAATATAGGTATATGTAAGGACAAGTTTGAATAATGGTCATAAAATGACCCAAATTTGGAGAAAAAAATTATGGAACTTATTAAAGAATATTGTCACTAATATTGGCTGTCCTTCATCATAATTTGACATACAAAATCATTGCAACTATAAAAGAAAACAATACATAAACATTGAACATCGAAAAGGCTGTTGGCTGTTCCTATTATTGAAAGCCAAGGAATTGTGACCACTGGTAACTACAAACTATGTTCATAATTATATGGAAACTGAAAGATGAATGTAGGTTAATGTGAAGTCAACTCTATGTGCTCACCTAATGTACTGGACAGGTCAACAACGTTGACGAGGGCATCGCTGGCACCTGATGCTAGCCAGTGTCGACAGTCGGAGCCCAGGGGCTTGTCCGCTGTGAACTGGGGGTGCCACTTCAGACAGTTGATAAGCTTGCGGTGCACTTGGACCACACACAGCAGCTTGAATGTCCCTGACTGACAGATCTCCACAGAACTGCAGGCACAACATAACCAGTGTGAAGGAATGAAACAGAGCTCATCTGTGAATCAATTCTGTAAGTATGAAGTCTACCTCCCCTTGTGGATTCTGTAAGTATGAAGTCTACCTCCCCTTGTGGATTCTGTAAGTATGAAGTCATAGCTTACCATCCTTGTGGATTCTGTAAGTATGAAGTCATAGCTTTACATCCTTGTGGATTCTGTAAGTATGAAGTCATAGCTCACCATCCTTGTGGATCCTTGTGGATTCTGTACGTATGAAGTCATAGCTTACCATCCTTCTGGATTCTGTAAGTATGAGGTCATAGCTTTACATCCTTGTGGATTCTGTAAGTATGAAGTCATAGCTCACCATCCTTGTGGATCCTTGTGGATTCTGTACGTATGAAGTCATAGCTTACCATCCTTGTGGATTCTGTAAGTATGAGGTCATAGCTTTACATCCTTGTGGATTCTGTAAGTAAGATGTCATAGCTTACCATCCTTGTGGATTCTGTAAGTATGAAGTCATAGCTTACCACCCTTGTGGATTCTGTAAGTATGAAGTCATAGCTTACCATCCTTGTGGATCCTTGTGGATTCTGTAAGTATGAAGTCATAGCTTACCATCCTTGTGGATTCTGTAAGTATGAGGTCATAGCTTTACATCCTTGTGGATTCTGTAAGTATGAAGTCATAGCTTACCATCCTTGTGGATTCTGTAAGTATGAAGTCTACCTCCCCTTGTGGATTCTGTAAGTATGAAGTCATAGCTTACCATCCTTGTGGATTCTGTAAGTATGAAGTCATAGCTTACCATCCTTGTGGATTCTGTAAGTATGAAGTCTACCTCCCCTTGTGGATTCTGTAAGTATGAGGTCATAGCTTACCATCCTTGTGGATTCTGTAAGTATGAAGTCATAGCTTACCATCCTTGTGGATCCTTGTGGATTCTGTAAGTATGAAGTCATAGCTTACCATCCTTGTGGATTCTGTAAGTATGAAGTCTACCTCCCCTTGTGGATTCTGTAAGTATGAAGTCATAGCTTACCATCCTTGTGGATTCTGTAAGTATGAAGTCATAGCTTACCATCCTTGTGGATTCTGTAAGTATGACATCATAGCTTACCATTCTTGTGGATTCTGTAAGTATTAAGTCATAGCTTACCACCCTTGTGGATTCTTTAAGTATGAAGTCATAGCTTACCACCCTTGTGGATTCTGTAAGTATGAGGTCATAGCTTACCATCCTTGTGGATTCTGTAAGTATGAAGTCATAGCTTACCATCCTTGTGGATCCTTGTGGATTCTTTAAGTATGAAGTCATAGCTTACCATCCTTGTGGATTCTGTAAGTATGAAGTCATAGCTTTACATCCTGGTGGATTCTGTAAGTATGAAGTCATAGCTTACCATCCTTGTGGATTCTGTAAGTATGAAGTCATAGCTTACCATCCTTGTGGATTCTGTAAGTATGACATCATAGCTTACCATTCTTGTGGATTCTGTAAGTATGAAGTCATAGCTTACCACCCTTGTGGATTCTGTAAGTATGAAGTCATAGCTTACCACCCTTGTGGATTCTGTAAGTATGAAGTCATAGCTTACCATCCTTGTGGATTCTGTAAGTATGAAGTCATAGCTTTACACCCTTGTGGATTCTGTAAGTATGAAGTCATAGCTTACCATCCTTGTGGATTCTGTAAGTATGAAGTCATAGCTTTACACCCTTGTGGATTCTGTAAGTATGAAGTCATAGCTTACCATCCTTGTGGATTCTGTAAGTATGAAGTCATAGCTTACCATCCTTGTGGATTCTGTAAGTATGAGGTCATAGCTTCCCATCCTTGTGGATTCTGTAAGTATGAAGTCATAGCTTACCATCCTTGTGGATCCTTGTGGATTCTGTAAGTATGAAGTCATAGCTTACCATCCTTGTGGATTCTGTAAGTATAAAGTCTACCTCCCCTTGTGGATTCTGTAAGTATGAGGTCATAGCTTACCATCCTTGTGGATTCTGGTTAGAATAAATGCCAGCAACCTGAACTGGTTGTAAGAGGTTATTAAATGGATGTAGAACAGATGGTTAGACTGTGTAATTTGGTTGATTGTGTGTCACCATAGCACAAATTGTCTGGTTTACAGGTCGCCATCATCTAGCTGGAAGCGTCTGTTGTTTACCATTGCACTCAGCAAACAGAAACAAACCATAGCCTATCAGTTTGTAATCACATCAGCCCACAATGAGGGTCGTATGTAACACAGGGATGTCAGTATACACATGAGTTTGACTGACACTGAAATGTGTACATTTCCAACCATTCTCAGATTCCTAACCCTCAGACCAACACAACACTGCAACAGAGACTAACACCAGATTGACAGTTTTTTCTCTTTTGAGAAATCTTTGCCAACAACATTATAATGTCTTATATTGAAATATGAAGGAAATACAAATATTTGAAACTCAGGTACATGTAATTTTTACCTATTTACAAAGTAACTTGATAAAATGACCCTCCCATTTTCCAACCCCAACCAATCCTAGCTCTACAGCAACCCTGTGTGTCTGCTCAAGCCATACTGACCCATCATCACTGGCTATGGCCACAACTGAGTTGTCTGGCTTCCAGCAGATGTCTGTTCTACCCTGGCTGTGACTCTGAAACAATGAACAAACTCTCAGAATTACAGTCACAATACATAATCCATGTCTTCATAACCCTGACACATTGTGCCTGCATAGTGATCAAGGTGAACCACAGCCATCGAGGTGGCGAGCAAAAATATTTTAATGATACAAAATGATTTCTCCGCAGACCTTTGGGCCTAGTGTGGTTCATTAATAACATGTTTGGCTGTTTAACATCTGAAAGGTGAATGGAAATCCTATCAGTTCACTTCACTGATTTTGTATATTTATGACAAATTAAACTTGTTGTTTATTTGTTGATGATGAAGAACCATGATGGAGACTCCTTGCTTGGAAGACTCGAGTCCCTAGTCCCTCGAATACAGCAAGTTTGCTTGTTTGTTTGTTTTCAGTTTAGTGCTGCACTCAGCAATATTCCAGCTATATGATGGCAGTCTGAAAAATATTCTAGTCTGGACCAGACAATCCAGGGATTAACATCATTAGCATCGATCCACGCAATTGGGAGATGATGACATGCATCAATCAAATCAGCAAGTCTGAACACCCGATCCCGTTAGTCGCTTCTTACGACAAGCATAGTCGCCTTTTACGGAAAGCATGGCTTGCTGAAGACCTATTCTACCCTGGATCTTCATGGGTCAAACACAGCAAGTCAGTGAGTTGGGTTCAACCCTGCTTTGAACTGTATTTCAGTTATATCCCAGCATGTCAACATTATGTGGGAGGAAAGCACAAAGCGATACAGGTCTTATGATGTTTCCACTTTGGAGAAACCCATAGGTTCAGGTATATATGATGGTGACAAACCTAGAAACATAATCAGGCCAAAATAGAATTCAAACCTCTGATCATAGGTTTCTGGTACATATGCCTAACAGTCTTACATCTGCACAAAGATGCCTCAAATGACTGGGCCACCTGTGCCCCAACCCTTGAATACAGAATCTTGGCCCACCTCTACAGCAAAATACACCAACACACAATAACCTGATACTCAAGGTTACCTAAATTCAATGTATTCCTATGAGTTTCGTGGCAAATTTTAATAATCACCCTTTTGCCGTTGACTTGTTCAATGAGTTGGTTGATGTCCACAGCATCCTTGTTGAATGCATGAGGCCTGTGTTCCAGCACCATCGAGTCCCCCACACTGTACAGGCTGAGGGAGGATGACTCACCTGAGGACATACAAACCAAGGTCCAACAGGATGCAAAATACTGTGTACTACACTTAGAAACATTAAGAATGAACACAAATAATAGCCACTGGTCTCTCATTGGACACAAACGAGTTTGGATGTTGGAGTTACTCAAACTAATATACTTAAACATGTATGTAATATTAATATGTAATTTCTGTTCTGATAAGAAATACAATCAATGTTCAGACAGTCCACGTCAAATTTGGTTCACCCATTTACTCCATTCAGTGAGTGAGTGAGTGAATGAATATGGTTTGACTGTGTGAGGTCTTGCTGAAGAAGAAGTTCAGCTGTGTGATGGGTTAGCCGTACAACTAGTTGGAACAACTTCTTCTTCAGCAAGATCTCACAAAGCTGTTTCTCTGTCAGGAACAAGCAGTAAATGCATTGAAGAGTTATGCAGGATAAGCTAAAAATGTGAACAGTAGTGGGACGATACACTGAAGCATCGATTTTTTACATCTCGATACCTGTATTGATCACAGTGGCACACTGAGTAAATGTATTGATTCTTACCTTACATGTTTGATTTCATAACTGTTACACCAAGCACTAATTAGCAGTGAAAACATAAATACTTGCATCTTTTGTGCCATACCTGACACTGCCAACTGTAAATCGTCAGTGTACCAGGTTGTTACCCACCCTTCTATGGCATTCACACCACAGATAAGAGCATGAGCATGTATCATGATACATAACGGGACATGAGCCAGGTATCATGGTAGGTATTGGATTGCACAGTTAGTGTATCGTCCCAGCCCATATTATGAACAATGTCCTACTCTGTGAAAGAGCAATTTCATACAATCAACCCAGTCACCAAGCCTGACCACCCGATCTCATCTCAATGAAGATCTGACACACCCTCCATAGAAAGTCACATCATGTGCACTGGAACCAAGTCTGGCCACCCGATCTCATCTCAATGAAGATTTGACACACCCTCCATAGGAGGTCACATCATGTGCAACTGGAACCAAGTCTGACCACCCGATCTCATCTCAATGAAGATCTGACACACCCTCCATAGGAGGTCACATCATGTGCAACTGGAAGCAAGTCTGACCACCCGATCTCATCTCAATAAAGATTTGACACACCCTCCATAGGAGGTCACATCATGTGCAACTGGAAGCAAGTCTGGCCACCCGATCTCATCTCAATGAAGATCTGACACACTCTCAATAGGAGGTCACATCATGTGCAACTGGAAGCAAGTCTGGCCACCAAATCTCATCTCAATGAAGATCTGACACACCCTCCATAGGAGGTCACATCATGTGCAACTGGAACCAAGTCTGGCCACCCGATCTCATCTCAATAAAGATTTGACACACCCTCCATAGGAGGTCACATCATGTGCAACTGGAAGCAAGTCTGGCAACCCGATCTCATCTCAATGAAGATCTGACACACTCTCAATAGGAAGTCACATCATGTGCAACTGGAAGCAAGTCTGACCACCCGATCTCATCTCAATGAAGATCTGACACATCCTCCATAGGGAGTCACATCATGTGCAACTGGAAGCAAGTCTGGCCACCCGATCTCATCTCAATGAAGATTTGACACACCCTCCATAGGAGGTCACATCATGTGCACTGGAACCAAGTCTGGCCACCCGATCTCATCTCAATGAAGATTTGACACACCCTCCATAGGAGGTCACATCATGTGCAACTGGAACCAAGTCTGGCCACCCGATCTCATCTCAATGAAGATTTGACACACCCTCCATAGGAGGTCACATCATGTGCAACTGGAAGCAAGTCTGGCCACCCGATCTCATCTCAATGAACATCTGACACACCCTCCATAGGAGGTCACATCATGTGCAACTGGAAGCAAGTCTGGCAACCCGATCTCATCTCAATGAACATCTGACACACCCTCCATAGGAGGTCACATCATGTGCAACTGGAAGCAAGTCTGGCCTCCCGATCTCATCTCAATGAAGATCTGACACATCCTCCATAGGAGGTCACATCATGTGCAACTGGAAGCAAGTCTGGCCACCCGATCAACTGAAGGATGCATTGGCTTTTTGACAAGCAGATGTCAGCTTTGTAAATGCTCACTACATTCTTAACTCTGTCAACACGATATCTTGTCGGTCACATTTTCCATTGCTTATTTGGAAATTTGGTCCATTAAAAAAGTAAAATGCACACAATACACAAATGTTTTTACAAACAAGGACATGGTGATTCCCCACTCCTGGAAGACCAGCTACTGAACACACTCACCAGCTTCAGCAGATCTGGAGGCAGGGCCAAAGGCAACCACATACACAGTTCTTCTATGAAACGTTGAAGATACGTTTGGATGTCTGAAAAAATACAAATAAATGAAAGAAACATGAAACATCCATACCATCTGAATTTATGTAAAGAAATGTGCAAATGTTCAAAGTTAAACATTTCAGGTGAAACCCAGTGAAATCAAACAATTCTATTCTAAGATTATAAACTCAAACTTTCAGAGATTAATAACAAATACCCAAAGTGATATCAATGCCATTCACTAAAATGGCTGCAATGTCGTGATCAGATCAAAATGCTTTGAGCACCTCAAAGAGAGAGTGAATTATTTAAATGATGCTTTGAACAGTATTCAGTCATATCACAGCATGTCAATCGGATGTGGGAGGGAAGTCCAAAGTGATATAGGTCTGATTGTGAGAGATTTACCCCTTTTGTGAAATCCATTGGCATCGGTATGGTTTTAATATACCATAAATCATAATCTGCACGAATCTGGGATTCAAACCAAGATCACAGTATCCTGGCCAACTAAGGGGCCTAACTCTACATGGCAAACTGCAATAGTTTTATTGACTCGGCTGTGCCCCAACATACTACGCTATTATTGTAGTGATTTCTGACAGCATCAATGTACCGGTATATGTATCTTATAGATATGTTCATAATGCATTACTTTGCCAAGCATGCCATCTCATGCACAGGCGTACACTAACAGACACACTGCGACGCAGTCCTTACTTGTTTGTCATGACGTCATAGATGCCGACACTGCCGTGGTCGGTGCCAAATGCAAGCTGCCCTTCCTTTGTGGGATGCCAGCACAGCTGTGGGACGGAAACATACCTGGACATGTTCATGAGGCACAAGCTTAGTAAAATCTAAATATTTTTTACATTTGTATACTTATCCTGCATTACTCCGTATTGCATTTACTGCTATGTTTGACAGAGAGACGAACTGTGTGAGATCCAGCTGCTGAAGAAAGTTGTCCCAACCAGCCCAGGAGGCAGCGCCCTCTCACAGTCGGCACGTGACCCGGAAGTCATGACGTCACACAAAAAGACATAACTGCTTTAAACATAACATCTGAAACATCGTGGGGAGGTAGCGTAGCGAAAGGGAGGGCACTTAGACTTCGTAATGCAGGATAAGTATACAAATGTAAAAAATATTTAGATTTTACTAAATTTTTTAACTTATCCTGCATTACTCCGTATTGCATCTTTATCAGACGGCTTGGCCGGTGGGCATACTTGCAGATGTGAACCATATTAAACCCTCGTCAAGGTCCGATGAATCCGCACCGCATACAACATCTACGACCATTCCTGTCTTCAGGAAACAAGAGTCGATGCAAAAACGAAACGCCCGAATAGGTAACCGAAATACAATGAGGCGTGTAGCCAAAATATATAACTTACCGAAGAGCGAAAGCGAAACGCAGTAGAACCTAGAGCTAATCTGAGGTGATAAACACCAGAGAGTTCGACGGGCCCCGCTCGGGGAATCGAAGAATCAGCGGCGTCAGCGGTAAAATCTACGACCAATCCCAAGAGCGAATGCGAAACGCAGGAGAGCCCTCTAGGCTGGAGGCAAGGAACACCGGTGAGGTCGACGGGCACCGCTCAGGTACCAGAGAAGCAGCGGCGTTGGCGTCGGCGCCGGTGTCCACATCTACTACCATTCCTGTCGTCAGGAAACGAGAGTTGATGCAAAAAGTAAAACCCGGATAGGTGACAGCAATAGAATGAGTCGGGTAACCCAAAACTAAAACTGACCTAAGAGCGAATGCGGAACGCAAGAGAGCCGTCTCGTCTGGGGTGATAAACACCAGAGAGGTCGACGGGCCCCGCTCAGGGAATCGGAGAATCAGTGGCGTCGGAGATAGATGACCTGTTGGGCTACAACCAGGGACCAAAACTGTGAACGCCGGCGACAACTTTCAAGGCTACATCACGGAAGTAGTGGTTGGTGAAGGCGGTGTCCGATCGCCACGAACAGGCTTCCCTGAATGACGGGATGGAACAGTATACCGTGAAGAACCAGTGTAAATACGATCGCCCTGATCTCATTTTATTTCAGGTAATAGCCTTTGGGGGGAGGGTCCAATCCGGCGGCTCATACGCTTTAAGGATGACCACCCGGAGCCACAGGGAAAAGTATTCCGGCTGACCAACGACAGCGACGAAGGGGAGACCGGCAGAAAAAGGTGTTTCCTAGACTTGCGGCAGTCTTTAGATCGTAGAATAACCTTCAGTGCCCTTACTGGGCATAATGACGCTCATCCTCATCCTCGGCACCCACACTGGACGAGGGGGGAGGGGACAAGGAATGATCTATCAGGCTGTCCTGGGAGTTGAGTCTTTACGCTGACGTCCCAGTACGGTCCATGATGAACGGCGCCCTGGGTACCGCATTCGAACCGGGCATGGGAGACGTCGAGGGCGTGCTGTACATGGACTCGAGCGGCAGTAGTCAAAACCAGTAGAAACACCCGTCTTCTACTTAAGGTCGTAGAAGGAAGACGAGGTGAGTGGTTCGAAGGGCGTTGAAGACCACATTCAGATCCAACGCAGGCGGTCCGAACTTGGTCTTCAGGTCTTCAAGACTGAACGAGCGCAGCCAGGCCCGTAGGTCGGGAATTTTCGTCTTTCTCCGATCGTCCGGGATGGCCAGAACGGAGTAGATGGCGACCAGGTATGTGGGGGTGGTAAGCCCTTCAACCGATGGGTGCTACACAAGTACAGAAGGAACTGATCCAGGATCTGCGGTGACGCTGTCATCGGATCCTGGTGTTTGTCAGAACAAAATGCCTGGAACAAGCATCATTTATCAGCATACAGTCCCCCTGTAGATGGACGGTGGGCTGAAGCAATAGCCTTGGTCGCTCTAGCCGAATAGCCCTTGGCTTTCTGCATGTGTGTCAGGCGTGCAGACGATAACATGCGGGTATGAGGGTGTGGCTTCTCATTCTAACAGACCGTGTGGATGGAGCAGAAGGTTGGACCACACCGGAAGTTCCAGGGGTTGTCTCTGGCTATGTTTCGGAGGTCGATAACCCAACTTCTGGCTGACCAATAAGGCGAGACCAAAGTCAATGGCAGGGGTCGAGTGGCCTGGATCTCTGAAGAACCGTGGGAGGGAGAACCGGAGTCGGAAAAGCGTACGCGCGTAATCCTTCTCAGGAACGATGGAAGGCTTCGACTGCCACAGCGGTCGTATCCGGCACAGGTGGAATGGAAGACGACAGCTGGCCACATTCAGATATGAGGCAAACAGATCTAGGGTTGGGGTGTCGACCGTTTCACATAGTCTGGCCCGAGGCGCCGGAGAGCGTGAGGCGACGGAGAGCTTGAGGCGCCTGGAACGCCGAAGATGGTGATTCTCGGGGGCGCCGGTCGAGTTTGTGGCGCCGGGAGAGGGGCGAGAACTCTGGGTCCGCAAACACCACACTACGGTGACGTCGTCAGTGGACACGATCAACAGGGCGTGACCGAGAATGCACTGTCAGCAAGTGCCGTCCTGGATAAGCATTTATCTCGAGGCTGTTGCTGTGCCAATGGTGTTGATCTCTGGATCACAGGTGGTCACAATGTGGGCTGGCGTGGGCCACTAGCCACTGACAAGGTGGCAGGGGAGGTAGTCAGCAACAGGGGTCTGCGATTGCGTACCGTCGGTACGATTCGGAAAAAGGTGTGATCGCCTGCGAGCCAACCTCAAGTAGACGAAGTAAACCAGCTTCACAATCGACCGCCAGGGCATCGACGTAACCAGGTAGTAGGAAGTCGAGGCAATATTGCACGAAGTAATGAGATCGTTTTCATCCCTGAAGCGGCGTATAAGTACTCCTGTTCTTATATCGAGGTGACGATGGAGGACGACAACACGATACGAGGCAGGTATGCAACAGGGGTCAGTGGGACGGCCGAGGGACTTTAAGTATCAAATCGACACTGTGTCCGGTAGTCAAGGCGGAAGATAGGAAGGTGTCGTAGTCGAAAAGATCAAACCGGACGAAGGAAGGCGATCTTTTCCATCCCTTGAACGCCTATAGGCGCTATCGTTCTTATAGCGAAGGGTTGATGAAACAAGGTTCCTCGTGACAGCCGTGTTGGTAGAGGAGGTCTATTGTTTCCAACATCCGTGCATGGATGGAATGCGACAGGCACCTGGTTGAGTGGTATCACCAAGCGTACAGGTAGACATGGAAACCAATCTGTAGAAATACATGGCACCCCTTGCCATGGTAAGTTGACCTAAATCCGGTCGGAGTTGTTGACAGTCCGAGTACTTGACACGTGACATGTAAATCACTCTGCGCAGTAGCCGAGAAAACCGCCTTGGAGTCGGAACTGAGGTGCAAACTCCACACACAGACAATCCTCAATGAACTGTGTGAGAGACGATCAAGTGGTGTACCCGAGTTTTGCGATAAAACACGGAACCCCATGGGCGTCGTGGAAAACCGGGGGAGCGCCGAGGAAGAGTCTCTCTCAGGAACGCTGGCGCTAGGGTAGGGTAGAAAAGCGTTGATGTCTGCGATGTCGACAAAGTAAACTCTTTGTAAGTGGATGTCGTCGTCGAATCTGATACAGACGCTGTTCACATGACGCTCTGTTTCGATGGAAACCCGCAGGTCATCTCTCCGGAATCATAGCGCTTTAAACGACGGGATTATGGATAACGTCTCAGTGGGCAAGTTGAATCAGACCAACTGTCTATTGGTTGAAATGATTCCACCCAGGAAGTAGAACGATAGTCACGATCCCGAAGACCGACGGGAGAGTAGCGAAAGGAGCGGCGACAGTTGTTTCACCATGCTTCTCCGTGTGACGAGTTATGAGACGGCAGCAAGAGAAGAGGGCAGTGGCGCCGGGGAGGCGATTGCCGATGGTGCCCCTTAAGCCGCAGTAGAAGATCGGATGATCTGAGCTTGATAAAGCTTGTTGATCTGAAGCTTGTTGAGCGCCGAAGACATCAGAGGATGCGGAGGCGCCGGAGCGCGGAGACATCAGCGGTGCCGAGACATCAGCGGCACCGAGTCATCAGAGGCGCCGGTGGCGCCGAGTCATCGGAGGCGCCGAGTCATCAGCTTGTCATGAACAAGTCATGAAGCTTGTTGAGCGCCGAGACATCAGCGGCGCCGAGTCATCAGAGGCGCCAAGTCATCGGAAGCGCCGGAGGCGCCGAATCATCAGAGGCGCCGGGAGCGCCGAGACATCGGAGGCGCCGCGTCATCAGAGGCGCCGGGAGCGCCGAGACATCGGAGGCGCCGAGTCATCAGAGGCGCCGGAGGCGCCGTGTAATCAGAGGCGCCGAGTCATCAGAGGCGCCGGGAGCGCCGAGACATCGGAGGCGCCGAGTCATCAGAGGCGCCGCGTCATCAGAGGCGCCGGAGGCGCCGTGTAATCAGAGGCGCCGGAGGCGCCGCGTCATCAGAGGCGCCGAGTCATCTTAGGCGGCGGGAGCGCCGAGACATCGGAGGCGCCGAGTCATCAGAGGCGCCGCGTCATAAGAGGCGCCGGGAGCGCCGGGTCATCAGAGTCGCCGGGAGCGCCGCGTCATCAGAGTCGCCGGGAGCGCCGGATAATCAGAGGCGCCGGAGGCGCCGTGTAATCAGAGGCGCCGAGTCATCGGAGGCGCCGGGGGCGCCGGGGGCGCCGGAGACATCAGCGTTGACGGTGTTGGAGACCGTGAACGGTCGTATGTCGTGCCAGGGGAGGCAGACTCTACGTTGTGAGCGCTGGAGCCGCCGGTGGAGTAGGAGACCGTGAACGGTCGTATGTCGTGCCATGGTAGGCAGACTCTACGTTGGGAGCGCTGGAGCCCCCAGTGGAGTAGGAGACCGTGAACGGTCGTATGTCGTGCCATGGGAGGCAGACTCTACGTTGGGAGCCGCCGTGAAGCTCCGCTGAGCGCTGCTGCCGTCAACGTAGGTGGGGGTCGAGGAGCACGTTGAGCGAGGTGTGTCCTGGATACTCGCATGAGCTGAAGGATCACAGCGACGAATGACTGCAACATCGGCACTGCCTTGTGAAAGTACAGTCACGGCAGAAAGGGGCGGCCCCGACCAGATTTGTTCCCGCGGAAACAAGTGCAGCGAGGCAGAAAATCTGGAATTTAAGCAAAACATAACTATGTGGCAAAGCCACAAAGTGCGGGAAGCATAATGTGTGGCCAATCACAAAGTATGGGAAGCATAAAGTAACTCAAAAACAGTATATTTTATTAAAGTTTATGAGATAAACAAGTACGCTAAAAGGGAGCGAAAAGGCAAAGCCTTAAGCAAACACGTAACCATGTGGCAAAACCACAGAGTACGGGAGACATAATGTAACTCATAAACTTCGTATTATATTGAAGTTTATGAGAAGAAACAATTACGCTGAGAGGTAGCGAAAAGGCAAGGCTTTAAGCACACCAAAACAACATACATAAATGTAATGTATTACCCAAGCCAAAGAGAGAATTCAAAACGCAGAACACGACATTACGTGGCCACGTGGTGAATGGCCAAAATGGCGGGAAAGAAAACAAAATGGCGGGAACAACATTGCGCCCGTAAATTACTGTGACGTGAGCCACAGACGAGCGATAAACGTTACAATTTACGGATGGGAAGACCCTAAGGTCACGGCCCATAACAGGTAACAATGTAGCAGCATATAATGAATGTAGAAACACGCAAAATATAAAAAACAAATAATAAGCTTTAATTTCCACAAGGGATACAAAGTACGTCCGTCCGTGGAGGTGACAAAGCAGTTATGTCTTTTTGTGTGACGTCATGACTTCCGGGTCACGTGCCGACTGTGAGAGGGCGCTGCCTCCTGGGCTGGTTGGGACAACTTTCTTCAGCAGCTGGATCTCACACAGTTCGTCTCTCTGTCAAACATAGCAGTAAATGCAATACGGAGTAATGCAGGATAGGTTAAAAAATTTATTATTGTTTGACACATTATGATAATTCATGGTGGTCTGTTTAACAATATAACCAAATCTGTCCATTGACACGTTAAAGAGTTTTTTCTATCATTCTCAAATTCCATCATGTGTAGGGATGGGTATTTGATGTTTAAAGTGTGTCACAATATTTTACAATGCACAAGGCCGTATTGCGATACGTATCACAATATATTGTATACCCGGTAATTCAAAATTTTGAATTAAGAAGCAATTTGCAACATCAATGCAGGGATTGAAGTTCACAAATGGAACAAAACAAGATGCTGGAACAACATAATGTTTACTCATTCAATAAATACGGAAGGACGCACGCTCAGGGACAGTGGTGACTTGGTGTTACACCACTGCCATAGAAGAACTCCAGAATGTGAACTTGCACTTTGGAATTACAGAAGCATTTTGAATGTACATGTATTTGGCAAGTGTATAACATTCAACACATGATAAAAATCGCTATTTGAAATCACAAGATATACCGAGCATTAAAACATGATATTGTGATATGAATCTTGGAAAGAATGAACCACAATTTACCGATAAACCGGTAATACCGCGCACCCTTAATCTTGTGTACACTGACAACTGTGTGAGTCTTCATTCTACCAACCACTTGTTGATGGTGTGAGTGAAGATGTACACCCCTAAGTACAAACATCTACACACAATCAAGTGTCTGTACTTACCGATGTGACCTTGGACTTGATTCCCTGCCACAACGTGTTGATATCAAAAGGGTTGACCTTGTTATTGGTGTTCCAAACACGGATGGTGTTGTCCCCCACACCGACAGCAACTCGTCCTGTTCAACATATACCTGGAATTTCAGCTTTGTAGGTTTAAAGGTTAAAAAAAAAAAACGGAACACAAATTATGGGTATCACAAAAAGAAAAGTATTTAACACATCCAAGTCACTAAATAACGTCTGTTGTGCATAATTTACCCACAATCGATCTTAAGATAGAAAAAAAATGTTACTCTATGCCATGGCCAGCAATACTCCAGTCTTATCACAGTGACCCTGGGTTAAAGAAACCAGTGGTTGATAGCATAAGCAATAATCACTGTCATCTGAGAACAATGCAATTAGCTGGATCAAATATTATGATCCTCATCTAAACAATCTATTCCACCGGGTACTGCAGACTTATTCTGATGCAGAAACCTCATGTGACACACTTTAAAGTACACCATCTATTTAAACTTATGTACACCCTGCTCCTCACCAGGATCAAGTGGAGACGTCTCCATGTTGTACACATGTCCCCCTAGTGATGGTATGGAGTACACAGAACACTGACGGTCGAGGTCCCACAGAACAATCTGTTTGAAAAACAACACAATTATCTCACCTTTGAAATGTAATAAATCGTAACAATTCTGGACTTTGATCCTATAACACAGAACCCCAAACATGCATGTTCCTCCTCTGGGGCGCCCGTTGCCCTTGGTTACCAACAGAGTTATCTGTCCCTGATCCCTTCTCATCAGCACTTCGCTAGAACATTAGACAGGGGTGGTTGGACGGGCGGGCCTGAGTCTTGTTGTGTCAGGATAAGTATACTATGAATATTGAAATTCATGTAGATTATTTCTTACCCTGACACAACACACTGCAATGCTTGTCCTACATATGGCGGTGGGATCTGCAACTAATGTTATTGGTAAGCACCCAGATTACGTATAGATAAGGCATGTAACATGTACGACCACGCTCTATGTCCTAGTACCTGTGCGGCTTCCAATACATGACGCTCTGAGGATCGCTGGTGAAATTGGGTTTAACACAGCATTCAAGATTATTGACATTTCTGCCATGCTCTGCAACATATATAACACACATAGGCATGTACGAACACCCCACAGAGCACAGAAACCAAACGCACCACATGACACCAGCAAACCTACAATAGCAAATGGAATCACAAAAATAATCTTAAGCACAATTTCTTTTTCAATTTTTAATACGCTATGTGTCCTTAAAGATTTCAAATGAAAATTTCCCACACAATATGAAATGAGTGAGTGAGTTGGGTTTAACGCTGCTTTTAACAGTATTCCAGTCATATCGCGGGGTTGATATGAAATGAAAAGGGTATTGAAGTGGAAACAGTCATACAGACAATAGAGACAACATTTGCAAAACCCAAGGATATAGAAGTCACCTCTATTACCGTGTGTGATGAGAAGTGAAGGGACCAGGGACAGATAACTCTTGGTGGTACCCAAGGGCAGGTGGTGCCCCAGAGTGAGGACGGGGTACGTATTGCAATGTCTTGTGTCAGGACAAGAAATAATCTCTTTTTTCAAGGTATCTTCCATCGGGATACATACCTCCTTTAATATCAATCTGAAACTACCAATTCATCTATCAACATTTATGCTAATCTCATAATTGTATCACGTACCGTATTCGACGTAATATGCGCCCGCTCTAATAAGCGCCCACGGCGATATTTGTTAATATATTGGCTAGTGAACAATCCCAATTAGCACCCCTTCATTTATTCGTATATAATACGCACTTGTGTGTTATATGCACCCTTAACTATGGGCAATTAAATTCTAGAAAATATATCTGTCGTGTATAATACGCACAGACTTTTCTTTTGTATCATTTCAGGCTGTCCACATAAACCACAAAATTTACAATCTTTCAACTTTCAAAATTATATTCTAATAGGAGCCCCCTATTTCTAATTTTGAGATACCCTGGGCGCTTATTACGTCGAATACGGTATATCGTATGTAGAGTAAAGCAAGGGTGTCCAGTGTCCCTGGTACACAAACACCCCGGCCACTCACCATTCTGTCCATGCCCACAGTGAACAGTGTGTTCATCTCCTCTCCCCCTGCACAGATGTTGAACACGATGCGTGAGTGGATGCGACTGTCTCCTGCCTGGAAGATCTCCCTCTTGTGGCCCACCGGAGACAGATCCCACATCACAAGCTCACCACTGGAGAAAGTCATGCATTGTTATATATCTAGTATTATCTACCCTGTATGGGGATTGTCACTTAAATATAAAAGGTTGGAACAAAATGTATTGTTTGTTGTTTAACGCTGCACTTTGCAATATTCCTTCTTTAAGACAACTGCCTGGAGATAATGAAGACTGGTCCAGACATACTTGTGATATGATATTAGAGCAATGGTCCACGCCATTGGGATATAATGACACACTATCAACCAAGTCAACAAGCCTGAAAACTCAACCAAGTGGTTGCAGAGGACCAACTCTCATCCCCATGGGTCTTGGGAGGTAGTGAGGACAAGGTTCATACAGATATGGAAAACTGAAATTCAAGGCCTTTTCAAAGCATTTCAAGGCTAAATATTAGCAGTAAATTAAGTCTGCTATTATTTTACTAAAATTATTAAACTAGTAAAATCCTAAATATTTTATTTTATTTATATATGTATCCTGCATTCCTCCTTAATGCATCTACTACTTGTTCTTAAAAGAAAGAAGAGCTGTGTGAGGTCTTGCTTAAGAAAAAGTTGTTCCAACTAGTTGTGTGGCTAATCCCATCACACAGCTCCCACGGAAGGGATGACGTCACGTATCACCACATTACTGGTAGATCCTAACATCTGAACACATCATGGGGAGACAGCTTTGCGACAATTGGGCCACTTTAGATGAAGTAATGCAGGATAAATATACAAATATAAAAAATATCTAGGATTTTACTAGATTTTTTAACTTATCCTGCATTACTCCTTAATGCATGTGCATCAGACGGCACGGAGGAGAGCATACCTTCAGGTGTGATCTTCAATAAACTCTCCATAGACTCCAACTAAGCAGCAACAGCAATGTCCAGCATCGAGTGACCATTCTTGTCATTGGGGGAGGAGAGAGTCAGGTATGCGTAATGTCCAGTTATCATTGCAGTAATAGATATCAAGGTGTTTAAAGTCTAGAACTGACGTTATCGGCGACGTTATTCTCGTCGATTCTTGGCGCGTCGAATGAAGCAACGCATCGCCCACACCGGATAGAGTAGGAGTTCCTGTTCATCTTCAACCCCAACTATCAAAGATAAGGGCGGGACAGTGAAGGATCTGTCCAGCTGTCCTGGGAGTTGAATCCTGGCTATGAAGTCCGAGCACAACCCAAGACGGCTCCATGCGCTCTGCGCTCTGCGCTCAAATCTTACACCGTGATGTAGTTCACTCACACATGCTGCTGTTGCCAGAGCCAAGACGAAGACCATCGTCTTGGTGAGGTTGTTGTAAGATGCTGAGTTGAGTGGCTCAAAGTGGCTCAAAAGTACCACATTCAGATGCAAAGCTGGGCGTCTGAACTTGGCCTTCTGGTCTACGAGACAAAAGGAACTTAACAATGCTTGGTGTTCAGGAATCTTGGTCCTCTTTCAAACTTCTAAAAGTGCCAAGACGGAGTTAAGGGCCACAAGGTAGGTCGTGATGGTGTTGCCCTTCAGGCGACGCTTGTGGCGCAAAAACTGTCAAGATTGCACACAGAATTGGGGTGATGCAGAGGCTGGGTTCTAGTGTTTCTCCTTGCAGAGACTCTCAAAGGAGCGCCACTTGTCAGCACAAAGGCACCTGGTAGAAGGACTGTGCACCAAGGTGATAGTCTTCACCGCCCTTGCCGAATGACCCTTGGCGCTAAGAGCTCTTTGTAGATGGACCAGGCGTGAGATGTAACCTGTCTGGAGGCAGGTGGGGCCGTTTGTTGTGAGGGTGGATCAGCAGGTTTTGGGCCAATCTGGGTGTTCGAGGGGGTCTATGGTGGACAGCTCCTTGAGATCCATGAACCAGCCCCTCACAGGCCATCAACGTGGTATCAAAGTCAGAGAGAGGCTCTGGGTTGACCCGGGAAGGAATACATGAGGATGAAAAGCGTACACTTTTAGTCCTTCTCAGGGGACTGTGGATCAACAGCCCAGGGTTATGGGTCCGGTGCCAAAGATATGAAGGTGCAGACCTAAAATTTCTGGCTGGTGGCAAACAGGTCAATGTTTGATTAGCCAAGGTGTCAATGCAAGAGTTGTCCACCTCAGCTCGTCCACTTTAGGAGAACCAATGCCAAATCCCATGTAGACAAAATAAACCCGCTCCTCAACCGATCGCTGAGGCATCGATGTAAGGGAAGGGGAGGTCGAAGCTGCATGCAGTAGATGAGGCTGAATTTATGGACAACTTTGGTCTGAAATTATTATTTCTCATTACTGTGCGTGTTGGCATCGGATGTCTACTGTAGTTAGTGACTCAGCCACATTGATGTACAGGCTGCAGATCAAGTGGTTGCAGCATTACCTACAAGTAAGCATGCAAACCAATCTGTACAAATACACTGCACTGCTCCCATAACATTAGTTGACCTTATTCCAGTCGAAGATGTTTACAGTCAGAGAGTTCTTGACACGTGACACATAAATCACCCTGTGCAGTAAACTGGAAACCCACATGGAGTTGAAGGTTCAAGCTCCACACACGGACAATCCCCTGTGAACCGTGTGGTTGACAGACAAGTGGTGTTTCCGAGTTCTGTGTAGAATGTGTGACGTGGCCGGGGTTAGTTGTTCACCATTATAAGTGGAAAGCTAATCTCTGGGTCATAGGCGCCAAGGATGGCACTAGCTCCGGGGTGGTCATCGACGTGTAGATAGGCGTAGTCATTAGTGTGATCAAAGGCGATTGGAATACTATCGTCTTTGGAGCAGATATCAATGTAGATAAAAGAGAGGCAGGTAAGGCCGATCTTAGAGGGGTAGACACTGGCAATCTCATTAAAATCACATCTTAGTTCTCGCTACCGCTGAACAAAGATCTGAGGACATCCCATTAGGGGTCATGTCAGAACAACCTTTCATCCGACCAATCAGAGCGTCGCTTACCAGATCATGAAAGTGACAGTCGGAACGTGATTTCTAATCATGCAGCCTCGAAAAATTTAAAACAGGGTATTCCGCACAATAGTTACGGACTTAACGACTGAATCTATACAATCTAGACTATATATTAGCCATTCGAGAATGTTCTTTTGTTCAGGTTTCAAATTTTTAAGCGAGAATTTGTCAAAATATGTTTCGAAGCGTAGTCACCAATTTGAAATTAGTGCCGTAAAGCAAGAGAAAGCTGCCTTCTGATTGGCTAATGTCGACTTCTTGTCAGTAATTCCATTGGTCGGTCAGATTTCGCAAAAGGTCGGTCTGACGTAACCCTTATGGGATGTCCTCAGATCTTTGTTAAGCGGCAGCGAGAACTAAGATCTGATTTCAATGAGATTGAGACACTGGTAGAATATGGAGAAGCCGTGGCTTGTTGAGACGTAGTAGACCCAGAGGAGTAAGACAGCATCATATTACCTTGTCTACAATCTTGCTGTGAACCAGCTTCCGAGAGACCCTCAGGTTCTTGGAGAAGGCTGTGGGAGAGGGGGTATGCAAAAGCTACATTTGTAGCTGTCAAATATAATATTACATCAGAGCAGTGCAGACACAAAGGGTGGGGATCCCAGCTAGACCTTACCGGAGTACCACGGGACATAAATCTGCAATGAAGCAGAAGGTGTAATCACAATGTGTACCCACCATGATTCTTTATGTATGTAATAATCTAAATCCCAGAACACAGAGGCTAAGGGATAAGATTACACAGAAAAGGTGAATAAAACACTTTAATAACTATAGGGAAGCATAGGTACAACAATGTATCAGAGGTACCAAGCAACACAAAGAATACAAAACGCATGACACGAAAAAACGTGACCACAAAGTGTATTCATAATGGCGGGTTGGAACAACAATACGCCTGATACTAACTGTGACAAAAAGACACTATCAAGCGTTAAATATTAATGCTATGGTAAAAATCATATTATATATGAAGACACAAACCATAGGGAGGATACAATTCACATAACATAATAGTCTTATAATCACACGCAAAGGATTGTAATGCTGAGAGCTCACTACAAGTGACTGTTCTCTGAGTGACAGCAGTAATGTGATGATACAGGATGTCATCACACAGCTCCTCCTTTTGTCAGGAACAAGGAGTAATGCAGGATAAGTTAAAACATAATAAGAAAAATATCACTTTGTACGAATTCAAGGTGTTTCAAGCTATTTTGATGTTATTTAGGCTTTTCAAGGTTGACGATAAACTTAAGGTTTTAATTATAGAATAACTGAGAATTCAATTTGTAATAATTATAACCTTACCTAAAAGACTAACCCATATATATGATATATATACATCATCAAGATATAGCAAAAACGGAAAACCTATTCTATTCCAAGACTCCTACCCAAAAGAGGATGACACAAGCTGTGTGGGGTGGTCCAGTGGCCAGTACAGGGAAGTCCACACCTTGCTCCTCCCTTGACTGTCCGCGTTGTCACGCCGGTTACCCGTGTTCAGTGGCAGCTTCTTCACCTGGAGTTGCTTCCCCTGACTAGACTTCCAGATTCGTATAGTTCTGTCCCGGGATCCAGAAGCCAGCAGATAACCTTCCGTGTCGTCTCCTGGAGAATATCAACACAGGAATGTGAAGTGCAAGTGAATGCAAGGTCTGTGTCTCAGTATCACCAAGATTACAGCCATATCATAGCAGCATGTTAATACTCAAAGACTGGTAGACAGCAGGAGCATTATCGACCTAATTGGTTAATTGGTTAAACAGTTACTACACTATCAGCAAGGTCACAGACCCGTGAAGATCCGATGTAGAATAGGTCTTCAGCAACCCATGCTTGCCGTAAAAGACGACTATGCTTGTCGTAAGAGGCAACTAACTGGATCGGGTGGTCAGGCTTGCTGACTTGGTTGATGCATGTCATCGGTTCCAATTGCGTGGACCGATCCTCCTGAAGTCAATCACTGGATTGTCTGGTTCAGACTCGACTATTTACAGACTGCCGTCATGTAGCCGGAATATTGCTGAGTGCGGCTGAAAACAACCAACCAACAACCAAGCAAGGTCACACATCCTATATCTGTTTTAGGTGTCTCTTTGGAAAAGCATGAAGAACTGGGGACGTACCCCGCTTTTTAATTTAAAGTGTCATCTTCCTTATCACCAACAAAACAGTTTGGGATGAAACCCATTCAAATGACAGTAAAGTCCTTGAATAAAAGGTCGCAGCACATGCACCATATTGAACAGCCACCAAACTTAACTGAAATACACCATCAATAATCCAGGGATATCCCAGCAGGGTGCACACATTGTGGCTAAGACAAGGTTCAGTCAGAGATGGAACACTACATTTCAAGCCTTATAAGGCTTGCGTTATAAGCCTTAGTCCGTCAATTATTTTATCAAATCCAACATACTATATATTAGTCGTAAGGCCTTAAAATCAATATGACCATCACACTTTTTCAAGAGGGGAACCAAACCAATTTTTCGGCATCACAAGCAAATGCTAAAACCATGAGCTTACCAACCCGCCCAAAAGAGAACCAAAACCGTTGTCTTCCATGTGACGAGGAAACACTTCAACAACAAGGTTGCATCATGTACTGTGATGTAGGCTTGAACCTGGTGCTTTGACATCATGCATGAACACTCAACCCACTGGGCTACCAACCTGCTTCTGAATAAGCTCCCTCAGTCAGCACATTCTCCCCGGGCACAGGGCACCAGACAACACTGTGCACCTCGTCGTCATGACCACGCAGACGGTGCTGGATGTACCCCCGGGATGACATGTCCAGCAGAAGTATGTTCCCAGACTTGTACCTGTTAGGAGAAACGTTCAAACTTGAGCTGTCTCAGAGCTATACCCAATTTGCCCACATGTTCAAATCCATATAGATAAGCAAAGCATTATAACCATGTTAAACAAGCTTGAATAAAAGTGCATGATCCTTTTTTCGTACTTTAAAATCAACTGATTTTTTTTTCTTTATATATTTCCTATCATGTCATTTGATAACTGGTATAACTATCAGTAATTGTACTTAATTTTGTTTTATTAGTTTAATAAATAACACTTGTAGATATGTTTTTGTGATAATTGCAGAAATCTGTTGTCCATGGATGTTGTCGAATGAGTGCACCTCTCTAATGTAGTCCCTTGTGCTCGTAATGGTCACCCGTCTCGCGTACACTTTACGTCCTCTACTGACTACAGATGCTTGTTGCTTCTGACTTTAAAAACCTCTGAACAAGAGGCCTTATGGCATAAAATCCCGATACTTACTATGCTTGGAACCAGATGAAGGATGTGATATTTACTTGAGAACTTCTAGTAGTACTATGGTTTACCTACATTTTCTACTATTATTATACCAAGAAAATCATAACAAAAGATCAACACACCCTACAGCCAACAACGATGGGTCGTGTGGGCAGCAAGCCAGACTGAAAATGAGGTCCTTCTCATGTCGGAAAGTCTGGTGTTCATCTGTTCGGTATCGCCATACAACCACTGTCCCACGTTCATCTCCAGTGACTATCAGGTCAGTTTGACTGCGTGACCAAGATAATGCTGTGATTTTGTCCTGAAAATGATATATTAATCAAACTTGAAATGTTCTGGGGCATGGCATCTTATGAATGATACCACAAGAATTTTCATCCACATCACACGAATCTTGCAATGGGACACTCAATGGCTGGAGATCAGCAAGCCAAACATCAAGTGAGTGAGTGAGTTGGGATTAACGCCGCCTTTAACAGTACTCCAGTTATATCACGGCATGTCAGCTTAATGTGGGAGGAAAGCCCTAACTGATGCAGGTGTCAGACGTTTACCACTTCGGTGAAACCAACGAGCACAGGTATGGTGTTGACAAACCTAGAACCGGGATTCAAACCCACAATCACAGGTTTCTGGCGTGCCCAAGGGACGCAACTCTGCACAGCGAATCGCGGCGTCTCAGACGACTGGGCCAGCCGTGCCCCCAAAACATCAAGTGAAAGAGAGAGCAAAGGGGAAAACATACTCCAGGGCCAACCGCTCATTCCAAGAGAGATGGCTGGCTTTATTTCCATGGCAGATTTTTGACATAAATTGGACATTAAACTAAAGACTTTTATTTGTGCATAAAATACCAAAAAAAAATCACTTTTTATGATTGGATAAACTGTCAAACTTCTGAGCAAGCACCCTGACATGACATGCTGAGAGTAAGGATCACAAAGTAGTTTGTGGTACCCTTGGGAGTGTTGTTTGATCTTGTATGATACAGTTCATTTGATCATTGTCTTAGTTTGTCTGGTCGGTAATTATTCCCAACATTCTATCATAACAACTTTGTTTGTTTGTTGTTTAACGCCGCACTCAGCAATATTCCAGCTATGAAGGCGGTCTGTAAATAATCGAGTCCGGACCAGATATTCAAGTGATTGACATCATTAGCATCGATCCACCCAATTAGGGTCAATGATCATGCATCAACCAAATCTGCGAGCCTGACCACTCGATTAGTCGCCTAATCGTTAGTCGCCTCTTACGACAAGCATGGGTTTGCTGAAGACCTATTCTACCCCGGATCTTCACGGGTCACCATGACAACTAAACTTAGTAATAGCAGAAATTATGAGTGAGGTCATTGGTATGATCTGTTGAGTCCAATATTTTCAGTATGTTGAAATTCAAATTCATCTTGGGATCAAGGATCAGTTTAATCCATGTACGTATGTTTGCTTTCTTATCCCCAAAACATAAGTTTTAACATAGTTATCAAATATTAACAAACCTAAAGTGTGATTTTGTCCTGCCATGGATATATGTTAGCATGAGGATATGACGCTTGGGTGAAATGACGGCAGAGAAAGATTGGTTGGTTGGTTGGTTGGTTGGTTTGTTGTTTAACGCCGCACTCAGCAATATTCCATCTATATGATGGCGGTCTGTAAGTAATCGAGTCTGGACCAGACAATCCAGTGATTGATATCATGAGCATCAACCCATGCAGTTGGGATTGATGACCCTGCATCAACCATGTCAGCGAGCCTGACCACCCGATCCCGTTAGTTGACTTTTACGACAAGCATAGTCGCCTTTTACGGCAAGCATGGGTTGCTGAAGACCTATTCCACCCCGGAATCTTCACGGCAGAGAAAAAGAACCAGCTGAGTGAGTGAGTAATGCCACTTTAACAGTACTTCAGTTATAACAGTATGCTGTCGGAGGAATGACTTAATTGATGTAGGTCCATCATGTTCACAACTAAGTAAAATAGAATAATTATACTGAGTTATATGCCAGCAACTGCCAGGGATATTATCCCTTGCATTAAAATAAAAACATTGACTTTGATATGTTTTTCTTCTATAATCAGCATCACCAGCAAGAATGAATAGACATAATCAGAAAGAAGGTTATGGGAAACAAGGCAGTTTTAAGTTGTGCCATTCTTACTTTGTGTTCTGAGTGTGACTGGATTTCAACCTGAGTATTGACATCCCAAAGTTTCACTTTCAAATCATCAGCTGAGCTGCAACAAATGTTCAGTTGGCTCTGTATCTGACCAAGCTTAACACATGACACTCGATCTTTATGTCCACAAAATGAATTGATATACCGTGGAGGGGTTCGGGGCACACTGGATGTGTCAAAGATAGCAACATCGTGCCGAGCGCCGAAAACGTAGAACCCTCCGCGATTTGAATCGCTAATTTGGCTCAAATACCAGTTTGGGGAAGCTGGAAGAACCAGGCTGGCCATTCTGTCTTGTGAATGATAAGTGTTATGATTCCATTCAAAATTATACAGTCTGTGAAATGTTTGAATCGAAGCAAAGATCCCGGTACAACGTGAGGAGTACGTGAGATTATCAAAAGTGGCTAGTGAAAAACGGATTTGTATTAATGTTATTAAAAACGCTAAGCATTTTGAAGATCTAACCCCACAATCACAATAGATTCTTATATATGTGTTCCTAGATTTAGAATGCATACATTTACCCAGTATACAATACATTGTAATTTTGTCAAAATAATATTCTTCCATTTCGTTTCAGATAAGTTAGTTGTTTTGGAATATCCGTCAATCTCATTTATGCTAGGTCGTTACCACAGCAAATTACGCCGTATTTATCAATTGTTCGCGTGGACTATCAATGTGAATACTGTAATTGGGGCCTGGATATTAGTTTTGGTTAAGTCAATAAATAACAATGTTATGTCATGATCATTTTGTGCATCGGTGATACGACACTGCGCAAGTCAAGGGCAACTTGTAAAATGGCGTCGATAAGTGTGCCATGTGAGTGTATGATCATATTTTGACGAAACATTTTTAAGTGAATTACTGTTATTCTTTCTTGATCAACACATTTTATGATTATGTTATTAGCGAGCTGTTGCACACAAAATGTTCACTTATTGATCGTTCGATTTCGGCGCATTTGACCGCTGTTGTCATTGTAAAGACTTAGTTCTCTGTTGCATGTTGTTGATTTACGTTGTATGTAGTTTATGTCAATGAAAGTCACATTCTACCATGAATTTGGAAAATGATTTTGATTTTGATTTGTCAACCAGAGGTATCAAATCACATTAAACCCCTTCTGATTGAAACAGCCTATTTTGACAGCGGAAGTTAATATTTTTAGCATAATATAGCTACCTCTTTTGCAGCCATTGTCATCTTATTGCATAGATATATTTAATTAATTACAATTATCGCCAACAAAATGCAGAGTTACTACTACAATATTCAAAGGTCATGTGACAATATTAAATTAATTACAATTATGGCTAACAAAATGCAGAGTTACTACTACAATATTCAAAAGTCGTGTGACAATAGTTTAATTAATTACAATTATGGCTAACAAAATGCAGAGTTACTACTACAATATTCAAAGGTCGTGTGACAATAGTCTTCTTGCAGAAGACACGATAAAAGAGAATGTATTTCAAGTTTTGAGGGCAACAGAGCTTCTATTTGGTGCATTACTTTATACAACTTGGATGTCATATCTTTTGCATCACAATGAAATCTTTGCAAGCCGTACTGACTTTTCTTTAGGGGTGGCTTGTTAGCTTACAAAGTTGCTGTGCTACATGCTTTCAGTGCCTGACATAGGTTTGTGTAAAGTATTACGGTGTAAACAGACTGCTTCAGCATATAGATCACCATATTTTGTTTGAAGGCTGTTGTCAGTGATTCCATTCATAATGATCGACAACCCACTCAAAACACTGGACTCAACCCATGCTGTTTCATTCAATATATTTGCTATCACCAAAGAAGAGTTCACGTTTTATTTAGTCATGGTAGAATGGTGATAAACATACTGTGTTTTCAAAGTAGAGCTAGGTTATCTGTTGACTTAACTACAATAAATTTAACGTTTAAAACCACAAGCTGTGTGTTTTGTTCCAAACAATTACTCACAAAACTTGTGATTCATGTAACAGAATACGCTACATGTATATGTTGAATGAATCAATATGATCATTTACTTTGATCACGTTGAACAATTTATAATTGTTGAAGTGATGATAATGTAATCTTTCATTTTTCAGGCTTAAGGTTTTTAAGAGCCAGCAACCACACAGTGTTTCGGTGAGCATCATATGGCTTTGAGTTCTTATGCTCATCTTTATATGTTTAAACACTTTGATGCTATTTACCAGGCACATTAAATAGAGATGTCTTACTCTGTTGGGTAACTCTGGCGACTTATATTGCTATGCATTGTACTTCAACATGTTCAAAGTTGTGTTACAAGACTAGTGAAGTGTTGTCCAAATGACAGTTGGTTGACATGTTTGAAAAATGCTGTGACTGTCATGTTTATTTCTTTTTGTGATATTTTCAGGCAATTTGTTCCCACCTTGTATCAAGCCTCTTCCATACACACCTGCAATGCCATCAATACAGCTTACAAAAACACAGACTTTGACAAGAGTTTGGGTTTTAGGAGGAAGTCGTGGAAGTGGGAAAAGTATAACCGTATTGTATACCCACCACAGAAGGAAGGCCAAAACATCAGGCCGGCAGTAAGTCGTAATACATGTAGTTGTTTACTGACTAAATATCTCTGGATCTACATATTTAATAAGATACGATGCATATAGCAGATGATTATGGGTATCCCACAATGTTTTACTTTGAAGACCCTCAGAAAAGAAGTATTGCAGATTTGTCTTCCACTAGTTCACTCTCACTGCTGACTTGGATTTTGTCAGGTCCACCAATTCTTAGAACTATGTTGGAATCTTTCACTGGTTCAGTACTCATTTAAAGAGGGGCATGAATGGCTCATTTGTCTTTAAAGTCACAGTAATTCAATATATTACTGTGCTGGGTCACTCTGATTATTATTTTTGACTTGTAAACAACATACCCATGCTTGTGGGTCTAACTGAACACTAAACAAAATGAAATTGTAAATGGGTGCCACTTCTGTCAGTTTGAGATTTAACTGGTATTCCATGATATTGAATTATTATCCAAAGTGTCATTAAGCAAGCAAACTCAATCTCACTCCTATTCAAAGCTTATTTGTTGAAAACCATTGATGTCTCTTAGAGCCTCTGCTATCATCTGTGAGGAAGAGTAAGGGAACGTAGGAACCCTTATATATCAAACACCTTGGTCAATATCATAATGGTCAAGTTTGTACATCACTGAAGCAGTAAGTTATTTTAGCAGGGTTTCAACTATACTCATATGTTTTAGAATTGTTGTCATGGCTAGGGTTTCGGTATTTATTAATTGCTTGCGTGGAATATCAATATGAATGTTATTGGGGTCTGGATATTTGTTAGTTCTTGTTAAATCAATAAATAACAATCATATGTCATGATTGTATTAGTGCATTGTTGATTCGACATTACGTAAATCAAGGGCACCTTGTAAAGTGGCGTCAATAAGTATGCCATGTGAGTTCACAATCATGTTTTGACCCCAAAACACCATTTTTAAGCAAATTACTGTCATTCTTTCTTGATTAACAAATTTTATGATTATGACATTGGCGCGCTATTGCACACAAGGTGTAAACTTATTGATCGTACAAATTCAGTGCATTTGACCGCTGTTGTCATTGTAAAGTTCTCTGTGGCATGTTGCTGATGGTTCTATGTGTTTCATGTCAACGGAAGTCACATTCTACCATGAACTCGTGGCTGTTGTTTTCTGTAACTTTATAATGCTGTTTGTTGAATCCTCAGCATTTCTATGTTGTCCTTTACCACTATCAATGTCATCATGTAAATGTTTGAATTCCAGATTATCAAGTGACTCCAATATTTCTATGTTTTCAGGAAATATGCCATGCTAGATTTCAAATCAAGTACAGTCCCCTCAAGATGTGGTACATTGCTGTCATGGTAAGACTCAGAGTGTCTTGTACATGGAGCCAAAACAGAACCTGTGCATTTACTGTCCACAAAGTTCCACTTTCATAAGTTATGTTTGGAAATAAGAAAACTTTCTGTGTAACATTGCAAGCATTATGGGAGTGTTTGTGGATATGAATCACATGCGTTAGTACGCTAGTGTTTTGCTAAAAGTGTCCTAAAACCATACTCGGTCACTCACTAACGTGTGACATCCCTGCCAGGATATTGCTAAACGTGGCTTAAAACCATACTCGGTCACTCACTAATGTGTGACATCCCTGCCGGTATATTGGTGGAATATTGCTAAACGTGGCATAAAACCATACTCGGTCACTCACTAACGTGTGACATCCCTGCCGGGATATTGCTGGAATATTGCTAAACGTGGCTTAAAACCATACTCGGTCACTCACTAACGTGTGACATCCCTGCCGGGATATTGCTGGAATATTGCTAAACGTGGCTTAAACCCATACTCGGCCACTCACTAACGTGTGACATCCCTGCCGGGATATTGCTGGAATATTGCTAAACGTGGCTTAAACCCATACTCGGCCACTCACTAACGTGTGACATCCCTGCCGGGATATTGCTGGAATATTGCTAAACGTGGCTTAAAACCATACTCGGTCACTCACTAATGTGTGACATCCCTGCCGGGATATTGCTGGAATATTGCTAAACGTGGCATAAAACCATACTCGGTCACTCACTAACGTGTGACATCCCTGCCGGGATATTGCTGGAATATTGCTAAACGTGGCTTAAAACCATACTCGGTCACTCACTAACGTGTGACATCCCTGCCGGGATATTGCTGGAATATTGCTAAACGTGGCTTAAACCCATACTCGGTCACTCACTAACGTGTGACATCCCTGCCGGGATATTGCTGGAATATTGCTAAACGTGGCTTAAACCCATACTCGGCCACTCACTAACGTGTGACATCCCTGCCGGGATATTGCTGGAATATTGCTAAACGTGGCTTAAAACCATACTCGGTCACTCACTAATGTGTGACATCCCTGCCGGGATATTGCTGGAATATTGCTAAACGTGGCATAAAACCATACTCGGTCACTCACTAACGTGTGACATCCCTGCCGGGATATTGCTGGAATATTGCTAGACGTGGCTTAAACCCATACTCGGCCACTCACTAACGTGTGACATCCCTGCCGGGATATTGCTGGAATATTGCTAAACGTGGCTTAAAACCATACTCGGTTATGTCACTTATGTGTGACATACTGTTTGTGTGTCATTTGTACACCAATGCTGTAGACCCCAGAGTAACTACAAGGAAGAACAGGTTCCAGTAACTCATGCTTGTAAGGGCTGACTGAAAACAAATGGGTGGTCAAATATGTCAGAGTGTGTGTCCGGTGCCACAATGGCGTGAATCCTTGATCAGTCAGTCACTTGTATGTGTGGCCCAGATTTCAATATTTACAGGTCGCCATGATATAGCTGGAATATTGCTGACTGCATGCGTGTAAAACAACAACCACATTATCATCATTAACATATTCTTGTTCATCCTTGTCTTCATCTGCATCATCCATTTCTTACTGCAACGTCAAGCCCCGCAACAGGCTTGTCTGATTGTCCTATTCTGATTGTTTATCGGCTAATATGATATGACTATGATATAGGCAACATTCACTACCAAGTTGTACTAAGTATTTGTATTTGCATATACAGTTTGGGTTGTGAAAATGAGAACGTTGGTAGTGTTGTTGTTGTATATTTGCTTACACCCAATTTCAGGTGTTTGTGTGCTGCATGTTTCAGATACGAGGAATGTCAATAGATGAAGCATTGAAACAGCTGTCATTTTACAAGAGGAAGGGGGCTGCAGTAGTGAAGGAGGTTTGTTTTTTGATCTTGACATTATGTTTTTGTGGATAAGTTATGCACCTTGTTGTTTCTGAGGGGCGTGGCATCGTTAGTATGATCAAAGGAATGTTTGTGTTGTGCGTGGGTTTTCATTTGTACAAAAACAAAATTCTGAATAATTTTTGAAAGGCGACATTTCATTAGCTAAAGAGCCCATGCATCCTTCATTTCGATTGTGAGGTCAAAATTCACCCAGGGTTTGCAAGCTTCCAACGGTAGAAATAGTTTTAGTCTACTAGTCCTTATAATGATAACATATAGCAAATCCCTTAAAAATGGCAAATTTCTACTGGTCCTTATGATACCTTAACCATTGGGCAGTTTGGCAAGGACTACAGGATTAGTGCCAATTTCAATAGCTGCAGACTATGTAGGTGTCATCAGATATTAATATTGAGAGGTATCGTATCGGAGTAAACAATATGATTTTAATGAGTTTGGGATGTATCATTGCAGTACTGTCCTAGACAAATTCCATTACTTCCTATGCAGGTGTTTTTCCAAATAATCTCCACTGCTGTATTTGATATAAACTTCAATCTAAGTTCACTTTATCCTTACCAGGACCGCCTCCGTGGTCTAGTGGTAGAGCGTCCGCCCGGGGAGCGGAAGATCCGGGGTTAGATCCCCGGCTGCGTCATACCAAAAGACGTTAAAAGATGGTACTTGTTGTTACCCTGTCTGGCGCTCGGCAATAAGGGGCTAAAACAAGGACTTGTCAGCTCGGAGTCAGTAAATTGTGTCTGAGTGGGGTATTCATGTTAAACTGCGGCATGGTATCTCAGTGAGCTAGCACTATAAATCGGCATCAGTCTGGACTAGTACAAGCAGCCACACAAACACAGACACACGTACATGCACGTCAATATATAAGTGCAATAATCTTGGACGCGATGTTAAACCCCATTTCACCTCACCTTATCCTTTCCAGAATGATGAAACCGACAGAAATTAACTTACAACGTTAAATATCCGCAATAGTGACAGCATATCAGGACACATTAAAAAATACTTAAGAATCAGAGCAACTTGCGTTGGCCTTGCAGAATGGATAACTGATGTATTTTATCTCACCTTACATTAAGATACTAGCTTCTGATTGGTTAAGGAGCGGGCAATTACTTTCCATGTAGCCGCCTGAGAAATTAATCAGAACACATCATAGATAACTTCCATATCTCGAATAAGTATCGTTGAATTAAAATGAACCGATGTTTATCCAAATGCATTTGGTAAAGGGAAGTAACTTTGTTCATTTGCTTCGAGTTTTGCTAACATATCCTGTTTGAATGGGCGGGCGGGCGTGAGTGCATATGTGTACATACTAGTCTAGACTAATGTCGATTTTATAGTGTCAGCCTACTGAGATACCAGGCCACAGTGTAACATGAATACCCCATTCAGACACGTTTACTGACTCCAAGCCAACCAGTCCTTATTTTACCCCTTTAAATCTGAGTGCCAGACAGGGTATCAACAAGTACCATCTTTGAACATGTTGAACATCTTTTGGTATGACGCAGCCAGAGATTGAACCCTGACCCGACCTTCTGTTCTCCGGGCGTACCCTTAACCACTACATCATGGAGGCAGTCGGCAATTAAGAAAACTGCTAGTGAAGATATTACTGCATGGATACTGATGTGTGTGTGTTGACAGGTGTTGGAGGAGGCACAGGAGATGGCAGTCCGCGACCACAATGTAGAATACAAGTCAAATCTGTGGATTGGTAAGAAGCGTCTACTCTGTCAGCATTTGTAGATTGTATTACACATTTACATCATGTAGCAGCAGATATCTGAATGTCAAGGTACTGTTGACCAACAAACTTGTTTGTCTCCATTCAGAGAAAATAATCGTTCTGTCTCAAGCAAAAGTCCCAGAACCATAAAATTAATAAATCTTAAATGTTTGGTTCCTAACAAGCCCTTTTCTGATGATCCTTAGCTTGTCAACACCTACCTCTACCTGTGGATTTCACCAAAGGTGTAAGTGTCTAAGACCTGCATTTTTAGATGCTGTGATATAACTAAGACTGATTGGGCCCCTGTGATATTGCTTCAGTATTGCTGACTGCAGCATAGACCAGCATTCACTATTAAGATATATGTTTTTGTCATCTTCGTTGGTGTGTTTAAATTAAATTTGTCCATGTTTCCAGCCTCATCGTTTGTTGGTCAAGGCAAGACTGTGAGGGGTCTCCGGAAGCACCGTGGCCCCAGGTACGGGATGATCCACTACCGCTACTGCAACGTCTTCATCAGACTACAGGAGGGCCCCCCTCCCAAACACTACTACCCCCCTCCCCCAATGGGACACGACAAGATGGAGGAGTTTATCAGGGACCAGAGGGCCAGGAGAATCATACACTCCTTATGAGACTTCCGCATCCGTTTCAACACAATTCCCCCTCAGTATAGGGAGGTACAGGAGGGTAGGGAGAGACTTGTGAAGAATCAGTGACACTATTTCAGCCTTTCCAACAAGACTTAGATTTCATCTTAGGGCAGAGAGAAAAATACAGATCTGGAAAAAGATGCCCAGCATAGTTGTATCATATACTTTCATGGGACAAAATGGGACAGGGACTTGCCACAGCTTGCTTACATTTGCATTTTCTCAACGAGTATACCTTTAATTGGCCTTTTGTGTATTTCATGAATGTGATCAGCATTTGAAACCAATGTTAATTCGAACTTGAGGCATAGGTGGCCAAGTGGTCTAAGTTGTGCCTTTTATCTTCCAGGATCACCTAGTCATTGGTTCAAATCCCAGATTCACCAAATTATGATCCAATGTTTGTCAGCACTCTACTCATGTTCATGGATGTTTACAGAAGTGGTAAATGTCTTCAATGTGTTGCATGAAGCCCATTACTGGTGTCCCCGCCGTGATATTGCTGGAATATTGCTTAAAGCAGCGTAAAACCATACTCACTCACTCACTCACTCAATGTGTTGCATCGCTTTCTTCCAACATAAAGTTGATATGATATCATATAGCTGATGTGTTCAATGCAGTGGTAAACCAGCAACCCCACACAGGTCGACTGGTGTGGCTTCTCTGGAGGACTGTAACAAGGACTGCCCAATTACCATGGGCTTTTTGTGATGCAGGCAGCTGTTCCTAGGGCTAAGGTGAAGAAGGGAAAATGTGGACAAGTCAAGAAGTGCACAACATCTGTGTTACATCTGGTGATAAACTACAGTGTATCATGTGAAGGGATGTACTCAGTTGTAGAAAATACTTGTATTCTAGTTGTTGAATTAGTTGTGTGTGTGTGAGAATGTTTGTGCAGAAGAATAAACTGTATACAATATCATCGTTCAAATTAGATCTTAGTTCTTGCTGCTACTAAACAAAAATCTGATGACATCGTCAGAATGACCTTTCATGAACTCTGACTGACCAATGAAATGACTAACCAGAAGTCGACTTTAGCCAATCAGGAAGCAGCTTTCTCGAGCTTTACGGCACAAAATATATCGAAGGTCCAAGTGACTTGAAGTCAGCTTTCACAGTTTTGTAACACAACTTTTATCTTGTGAGTTTCTGAGGCTTGGCGACCTCAACAGCCATGAAACCTTAAAGTTGCATGTATCTGAAATGTTGGTGCCATGTCTGTCACAGGTCATGGTCATCTTTGAGGTTATTATGAAATATGGTTATGTCATTAATTTTGAAGTTACGAGGTGTGGCTGAAAAGTTCTGAGCCTAAACTACAATACTACGATACTTTCCATAAATCTTATAGCCTGCATTTGAACCAAGTACTTGACCAGACACCATATTTCTGCAAGAGCCAAAGTGACTACTGGTGGGCATTATACATTTGCTACTGTGCTGAAAGGTGTCAACTCCAACTGCCATCCATGTGGATATGGCACCAATTTAAAGGGATGATGTCGACCAGTCACTTGTACGCGAGACGGTTCGCGCAGTTTCGAAGAAAGTAAACATGTTTCAACGCGATGGAAAATGGGTGTGCGTTGGTGTGCATGAAATAATTTATATATTTTGTAACTCTACGATGAATAAGCTTTTAGAAAATACTACGTGTTAGTTTCTGAAAAATATGTACATAGGAGAAAATCGCTGGCAAAAACAGAACATTTTGCTCGATTTTTGCACATTTTTCTCCCAATTTGACCGTTTATTATTTTTCTTATGACATTTTTTTCACGTCATTCGATAACTAGTAGAATGATCAATAACTGTACTTAATTTTGTTTTATTATTTTCACAAATAACGCTTGTAGAGACATTTTTGTGCAACATGCAGAAATCCATGGTCCACTGACAGGCCGTCACCCATACGAGTGACCCCCTCTCAGGTGGTCACTTGTACGCGAGACGGGAGAGCCGTCTCGCGTACACGTTACGTCCTCTACTGTTGAGAGCCTCGATCAGGAAGACCTTCAATTCCCACCACAAAGGAAAATGTTGTGCATACATTACATGATTATTCATGACTGACTCGCCACATGTCACATGGTCAATACAACAGGCACATCTCATGCAGAGTTGAACATATTCTGAGGAATGGACCGGCATGACAAAGGTTTCAGCACACTGGGGGCCACAGCTTGTGACTCCTGGTCAGAAATGCCCAAGGTTTGTCAACTCTTGTGAGAATATAGGTCATTTTGAAGCAGACACAGGAGATTTTGTTGAGTGATTTGTTACCATAGATGAGTCACAGGGTTTGCCATTATCAGCCAGAGATGTAACAACAATAAAAGCAGTGGAAGCATTTAACATCTCGTCCTCCGAAGAAGGCGTCAAAGACTGTACCATCATATGGTTTCCTGTGATTCCAAAATGAATCCTACTTGTAGACTACCTCCAAAATGGTCAGATCATTAATGGCTAATATTATGCTTGTCTGTCTGGGCAACTGCATGAGAATATCAAGACTAATCATCATGGAAAACTAACTAGAGTGTTGTTCCACTGGGACAATCCACCTGTGGTCAAGTCTGTTGTTGCCATGGCTGCAATGACTGACTGTGGCTTTGAACTCATTGAACATTCTCCATATTCACCAGATTTGGCCAGATTTTCACTACTTGAAATAAGAACTGGAAAGTATTTCACAGATGATGATGACATCATTTCTGCTGTAGAGGACTCTTTACAGCACCAGGAGGCTTCCAGGCACTTCAGCATCCAACTTCATCAACAGTCCATCATAGTTAGGATCAGTACTTTTTAGCCATCCCTAATACAATCTTGAGACTTTGTAATTATTAGATCCCACTGAAGTAGTCTACTGGTCAATGTATGGAAGCAAAGTACCTGGTGGTATTTTAAATCTTTAGAAGCTCTGATGAAATGGTGGTGATGTGGCAAATTCTGTCTAATTTTATTTCTTCATATAAAATCTTTCAACCTTTTCTTCTTGCCAGTAGTATTAAAACTCCACTACAGAAGCTGTGAGACAAGTAAAACACTTGTAATAGAGTTATTGAAGTCAAAAGCCTGAATCATGTCCTTTGTAAAGAATTTATTCAAGTCAAAAGTCTTGCTTTGAATATCATTTACACTTGAAAAAGTTGAGAAGTATTTCACAGGAAAAAGTACTGCATGTGTATAAAAATGAGTTTGTACAAAACTATTGCACAGAACAGTGTCACGACATATCACAATCATGAAACCTGATACAAATGGATGTAATTATATACAAGATATTTACAAATACAAAAAAAATATAATTGGTAAGAGTTAACACAATTTAGTAAATAAAATACGAAAAGATCAGCACAATGTCCCATTTCACCTGAGGTCACAGGAAACTGAGTTACGCACAAAGAAGACACATTTGGCCTCTACATTTCACTGAAGACCTGTACAATGACACAAAAACAGTGACATCTGAAGACTTGTGTCAAGGACTCAGAAAGATGAAAGGAGGAGAAGTGTTGAGGGAGACATCAATACATTGAATGAAGGAAACATGGCAAGACAAGAAGTAAACAATATTATCCTCAAATAGGAACACACAAATAGAAAAAAATAATGCATCTGCTTGAGTCAACATCAGAATAGGAAGAGGTGTTTTTACAGTGCTTATTACCAGCAAACTTTTAATATTGTGTTCAAGTGATGATCTTCCTCTAAGAAATACCATTGCATCCTGCTATGCACTGACAATGTAAAGGAAAAGAAGTATGTTCAAAGTCAAATAGAATTATGCTAAATCAACTATTTGAAAAAAACAACTTAAAATTGACACAGATGTAATAAACATGCTCAAATAAGTGTGATTTACATATGTTAAATAAATGTGGATATATAACCAGTAACATTTCAAGATAAATAGATGGCAGTCTGGCTCAGCTTGTACAGTTGCACATCATGCAAACAATAGCTGGACGTGTTATTAAGATGGCTGCCACACAGAAGGTGAAAAATACAACAAATCAAAATGGAACAGAAATATAGGAGAAATGAATAATGGAATAAGATACATACAGTGGTCCCTCGCTACAACGCTACCAATGGGGTCCAAATAGTACCTATTGCCATAAAATTACAATGAGATTACAACGTATTGTTGGGACCAGAGGACATTCTGCTCCACTTGCATGTCGTGCAAAACATGCATTTCACTACAAGATAGAGTTTAGAGAACTTGAAACTTTCATGCAAAATATGCTCTTAAACTACAAGACTGTTGGTAGATACAGAACTGGCGATTATACATTGACGGGATATGGAGGCACTGCCACTGACTAAAATGCTTGTCTACTGATCTCTTTAGTCCGGTAAGGTGCTGTCACTCCTCTATTTTTTACATATAGTTGATGAGTGCTGTTAGGCATGCACATGTCAAAATACAAACAAAATAATGTAACCCCCCCCCCCCCGACAAAAAGCAAACACATTCCACAACCAGCATGTCCTGATTGTTGTTTGAAACATAAGGAAATGTATTTTTGATTCCATATTATCTATGGCTACAATTAATAAAACGTAATGTACACATATTCCTCTACAGCTTCCCACCAATGCACTGTGTGCCCATACACATCATCAAATCTATCTCCATGTGCACTCATGACCATGCATAAACCATTCGATTGAAATAGCTGAATGTGCTGTACAACTTGACAGTAGTTAATGATGCACATGACAACTTCCTACTCATGTAGTTATTAACATTTCCCTGACTAATCGTACCAGGCAAAATCTTTATTCCACTTGGGGACATGAAGAAAGATTATAGTTCTCCCATAGGATTTAGCTCTCATTTTCCAGAGTCTTGCCAGTTCATTCTTTCCTTGTAGAGTATAAAAAAGATATTTTCAGAACAGTCTATTCCCGTTTTGAACAGGATCTGATTCCTGGGACAAAAGCCTTCTTCAAAAGTTTCCAAAACATTCCCTAAAATTGGGTCCTTTCTAGTCCTTCACAAATGAATGTGTAAGCTCCAACAAACTACAAATCACCGATGTACATGGCAACAGAGACCATTATGCTCTCAAAGCAACACAGTAGCACATCAAACTCACACAGCACCATCATGACAAACCACCATGCGTCACCATGCTCTCGGTTCCATCCTGATGGACCACGGAACATCAGCCATTGTAGCCCTGTCTGGGATCTTCTTTCTGCCCACTACCTCCAGCACCAACTGCTCCTTGTACCTGTTCCACAACTTGTTCAGCACCAGGCGATCATGCAGGGACTGGTTGTCGGGCAGGAAGGACTGACGTTTCTTGGCCATAGCTTGAAGTTGCCGCTTCTTGGCAAATATCTCAAACTGGACTAAGTTCACACAGATACACTTGGCCTTTCCATTAGCTATCATGTATACGTTTTCAAGATCTTCTCCTGAAAAACAGATTTGAGGAATCCCTGTCATAAGGGTACGTGGTGGTTTGTTGTTTAACGGCACACTCAGCAATATTCCAGCTATATGACGGCGGTCTGTAAATAATCGAGTCTGGACCAGACAATCAAGTGATTGATATCATGAGCATCGATCAACGCAATTGGGACCGATGACATGCATCAACCAAGTCAGCAATTCCGACCACCCGATCCAGTTAGTCGCCTTTTACGGCAAGCATGGGTTGCTGAAGACCTATTCTACCCCGGATCTTCAGGGGTCTGTCTAAGAGGTGCATCCCTTAGCCATGCCAGGATCCGCTGGTCATAGGTTTGAGTACTAGATTGGTGGGGCTGTGATCTTTGGTCCGTCACCACCATACCCGGTCTTGTGGAATGTACCAAGATGGTAACCGTTTTTGTTTTTTTCACGGTACTGAGCGGACATGTCACACAATGTGTTACTGGAATAGGTGGTGTAAGTGTAACATATTCCTAGTATTGCTGACCGCGATGCAAAACATTCACTACCTCACTCACCAGCTCCCATGTAGTCCCCCTCGGACAGTCTCATAATAGTGAGGTTGCGAGGGTTCAATGAATGGACCCTGTAAGCTCTGCCATAGTTTTTGTTCAAAAACTCTTTCTGTGACGTCTTGTTTGGCAACACCAGAGTCGATGGCTTGTGGGGGGACTTGAGACGCACAAGGGGCACCTGCTTGATGATGAGACACTTGCCAGACATTAGGAAATAGATCTTGGGTGATACGCCTTGGACATTGCCTAGAATTACCTGGAAATGTGGAACGTAGTCTGTGAATTGCAAACAACATTATAACATATCGTTATGGGTGATCACAAGGCCATATTGACACTCCTATAGTGGTCCTAAAACAAGGTCTTATAATTAAACCAAAAATGACTTCTAATTAAATCAATATTTTGGGTTTGAGCAAAATCAATGTCATGGTAGCGATGCTGAAAATGACACCAATGATAAAAGTAGTCTGAAGCCGATTTTCTGCTGCCTCATGCTGTGATATTGGAATGTTCATAAAACATGGCTCAGTCGTGGAATTGCTGTCAAATGGTCAACATTGTACGTGCTACTGACAAAACACATGGACGTCGAAGACGCCGGTTCACACCCATGCTTGCCGTAAAAGGCGGTTAATGGGATCGGGTGGTCAGGCTTGTTGACTTGGTTGATGCATGTCATCAATCCCAATTGTGTGGATCGATGCGCATGATGTCAATAACCTGGATTGTCTGGTACAGACTCGATTATTTACAGACCACCGTCATATGGCTGGAATATTGTTGAGTGCCGCGTTAAACAACAAACCAACCAACCAATCACTGGCAAGTGAACACTTGGGACAACAGCTGGCTTAACTCAAACGTTCCCCTCTGAGTGAGTGAGTGAATATGGTTTTACGCCGCTTTTAGCAATATTCCAGCAATATCACGGCGGGGGACACCAGAAATGGGCTTCACACATTGTACCCATGTCGGGAATCGAACCCGGGTCTTCGGCGTGACGAGCGAACGCTTTAACCACTAGGCTACCCGACCGCCCCCGTTCCCCTCTGAGGTTACACTTATTGATATCACTGTCATTGGAACGCGGGAGAACGAAATTGACAAATAACATATTGTCAATGAAAATTATAACTCACTCACTAGATACAAAAACCGTCACAAAGGCGTACGACATGCGGTAACTTGTTCTTATTTGAGCAAAAAATGAATTAACTTGGTGTCAACAAGCACCAGAGAAAAAACAAAAACGCCACAATGAGGAAGAACTGGCTTCAGCATTTTGAAATCTCACATCATTATCTTTATAGTCTATGATACTGGATACGTCTGCCACAGCCCCCAGCTCGGCTTCGGTCCAGGACCGGAAGTACTGGGATCCCTGCAGGAAGTCGAGCCGCTCCCGTCGCTGCATTTCCCACGCATCCCTCAAAACTTCGTTGAAGTCCATCTTACTCAGCATCAGCAGCTCGCAGTCATCTGTGGAGAGGAGGAGGGGGTCGAATCAGTCCGTGTGTTTTGTTACACAATCAAGCCCGTACAAGATAAACAAACCAGTGGTTGCAACAACGATCCAAGCTGGGTGGGCACAATAAATATGACACACATTGTAACCACCCGATTCCCAACAAGATGTTGAGATCGGTTTTTCCCCAGATTCCTGAAGTGTCTACAGTAAGTACAGAAATATCTTGCACTTGACGACACTATTAATATTTTTGCATCTTAACCATGAGCTTTATGTTTACTTGGACATGCCATGCATTGGGTGGGTTCCTCAAGTGTGTGCGAGTGTATTTGTTTGTTTGTTGTTTAGCAATATTCCAGCTATATGACGACGGTCTGTAAATAATAGTATGGACCAGACAGTCCAGTGATTGACGTCATGAGCATCGATCCATGCATCAACCAAGTCAGTGAGCCTGACCACCCGATCCCGTTAGTCGCTTCTTACAACATGAATAGTCGCTTTTTCGGCCAGCATGGGTTGCTGAAAACCTATTCTAACCCAGATCTTCACGGGTCAGTATGTGCTTGTAACAATATGTAACAATGAACATACTGTGACATACAACTGTGGCGCTTCTTTGGACTTTCCAGATAAAGGCCAGCTCGCCGAAGGTAGCGCCTGCCTTAATGTCGGGGAGATAGGTCACCAACTCTTCGCCTGTCAAGAAATGAACGTTGGTACAGTCGTATGAGTGCAAGAGTAGTTCAAGCAGTTGTTCAATTGACTCTGAAATGTGAAGGTCTGCATCTGCAGCTGAGTGAGTGAGAACACATATAAATGGGAGTGAGAAAAGTTTGTTCGACTTTACATAACTGTGCTAGCAGACACCCCATGCAGGGTCGACGGAAAATGGTGACCAACTGATCCTCACTGGTGGGTCGGTCTTCCCGTTTAATATCATCATCCTCCTCATCCTCCTCATCATCATCATTTTATCTTAATTATCTTAATTATTAAGATTTATTCCTCAGACACTTTTCAGTGAATGTGCATCTGGGCTATTTCGGCCAACGACAAACAATGGAAACTCTTTCAGCAGTTCATATGGGAAGGATACCACCGTCTCATCAATACCTGTTCGTGGGTCCTTCTCCGACATCCTACACCCCAGGGATCCCGACACCACGAAGTAGACATTGGTCCCGTCGTGGCCCTGCTTGATAACCACCCGCCCGGCCCCGACCTGCTCGTACTTAAGGCGGTCAGCCAGGGCCTCCTTCACATCCGTCGAGTACTTGGCGAACACGGGGAGTCTGTTAATCACCTCCTGCGTAGCAGAGCACATGTCAGGAAAGGCAAAAGGTACACCATCTGCGAACTTCGGTAAATACGGTTACAAAAAGGCGGTAATGATCGAGATAATCTTTCGTGAAACCTCGTAAGCTCTATAGGCCCGGTGAACCATCAGAAATAAATATTTTCCGTAGTTTCAGTGATATGCTTGACCGTAGAATTTAGGGTAGACATTTGCCAGAGACATAAAGTTACATCGTCGCAAGTAAAGAATCAGATCAAAGAGAAACACTATATTCACTGGAAAGACTGCACACCTGGCTGCCATCTACAATAAATACGTGCACGTACAAATGTTTATTGTACATCAAATGTAATATAAAGTAAACCGACATATCTTGGTAACGGTATAACTGTAAATAGCACATGTACAAATCGAATTATCAACTCCTTGTATGTGCACAACTGCTCTCTATGGAACAATATGTGCCGGCACAGTTACCCGTCTGGCGCACATCGTTTTAAACTACAAATCGAGTTTTTCTAGATTCAGATTCTATGCTGCAATGTACTCTCTGTGTGATATCCTGCAACGAACGCCAAACTTTGCAAAGCAGCGAGCACATCAGTCACTCACGTAGAGCACATTTTGAGTACAAATAGACAAACTGTATCTAAACTTCCTATGACACTCACCAATAAACACACAATATCCCCTTGAAGTCTCTGGCCTGATTTGCGCGCGAGAGCTTCTCTAGCTCGCTTGGTTAATCCCCCATAGTTCTTTGAAGTCCTGCAGAACTCGCGGGGGTCAAAACTAATGGCTCTGCCGTCTCTCCCAATCACCCTGAACACTTGGTCTTCCCGCTGGAGCTGCCCTGCCAGCCGGCGACTCGTGCAACGGAATAGCAGGACGATGTGATAGATCTTCCTGAAGAACCGCAACAGTTTGGACTTGGTATTAGTAAAGTCCTTCACCGTTTCCTGGGGCTGGCCCACGGGTGTTGATGTGATGGAGACACAGGGCGGCGCAGCTGGTATTGTTACAGACTGGGACAGTGCTTGATACAGGGTACTTCGACGACGATTCTGGGAGCATATTTCATTGAAAATTTCATAAAGTCTTTGTTGTCAACAATAAGTCTCATCTTTCAGTAGAAAGTTTACTATTCATTGGTTAATTCTCGTGCAAATACCCTAAGAAAAAAAATACGTAACAATTTCTCAATATCGACGAGCACAAACACATTTGTTTGTTGTTTAATAAGGCCGAAGTCAGCAATATGACGGGGGACCGTAAATAATCGAGTCTGTACCAAACAATCCGGTGATCGATTTTGTGAGCAACGATCCACGCCGTCGGGCAACCGTCAGCGAGCCCCCCCCCCCCCCCCCCCCCCCCCCCCACACACACACACACACACACACTCACAGACACCCACATACACAGACACACACACACTCACAGACACACACACATACACACTCACAGACACACACACACACTCACACACACACACACACACACACACTCACAGACACACACACACACACACACACTCACAGACACCCACACCCACACTCCCACTCACACTCACACTCACAGACACCCACACACACACTCACACTCACAGACACCCACACACACACACACACACACACTCACAGACACCCCCCCCCCCCCACACACACACACACACTCACAGACACCCACATACACACACACACACTCACACTCACAGACACCCACACACACACACACACACAGACACACACACTCACAGACACCCACATACACACACACACACACACACAGACACACACACTCACAGACACCCACATACACAGACTCACACTCACAGACACCCACCCACACACACACACACACACACACACACAGACACACACATACACACACACACACACACACTCACAGACACCTACATACACAGACACACACCGCCACACCACACACACACACACTCACAGACACCCACATACACAGACACACACCGCCACACCACACACACACACGATTCATTTGGGCGCCTCTTACGACCAACATAAGTTGCTGAGGACTTATTCTCACCCGGAATCCCTACCGGAACTATTATCGTGATTACTAGTATACTCCGCGTCATTATTGAAGGGTCACCTGGGTAAGTTGAGTATCAAACATGAACAAATGCCAACCAGCTTCAATAGGTCTGACTATGTGATTAACAGCTGAAGATGAACATGTTGTTTATGCCTGTGTCACACTGATTGGATGCACTCTTATGAAAATGGTAAACTGCACAAAGACTTAAAAACGCAACCAGAGGTTAAACCCATGCATGCACAATACATGACAAGTATTGAGTATAAAATGGTTCATTCAAGATGCAACCAACAGAACTCATGGAAGCTGAAAATGCGATGTTTTATCTCTTATAATCTGCGTGAACTGCGTGAAGTAGCTATCATCGCACACCTTATCTAAAGTCGAAATTACGGTTAATTGTTACCGACTTCCACTTTCGTTTTCATACAACCTGAAACATATTTCAAGAATACCAATACCATATTTCGCTTATGCCACTTTTGATCACAGTGCACATTGACTAAATAATATATGTAATTTTTAAAGGCATCTTTACTTCAATAAACACTTTTTCATAATAGTTGAACGTTCAGTATTTATTTACCGTTGGTGTTTTGATGGAGTCATTTCTTTCTTTGCATGATGGACTTTCAAAAGTTTGTTTGCTGTCAATGAGCGGATGAGTTCCTACTTCATCGATGTTTTTCAACACATCATGATCGTTGTCTGTTGGTGGGGCATAATTTGAGAGTTCTGAAGAGCGCAGTCTTGATTCAGTATAGTGATCCCTTGAGCTCCGAACACACATCCTGAACGGGCTTTCAACTGAAACACGAGACGCCCGACCATTCCGACTTTTTCTACTGTCAACGCGAATCTCACAAAGACTGCTCTCCGAGATGGTTTTCTTCTGCTCCGGGGTCGGTTGATGAGAAACAATTTCTGCTGAGGCGCTAATAATTTGCTTTTTTTGTGTTGCGACATCATTCCGTGCCGTTTCTTGAGGTTTCAAAACGACTGGCATTGGTCTGTTGTAAATGTTACTTACGTTCGGGTATTTGTCAAATTGTATTCTACGCAAAATTCTTGGATATCCTGCCAGTAAACGCTCAATTCCGCTTCCCTTGTCACTCCTAGCATCTTCTGTCCATTTTCCCAAACGCTTGGAGGCCCTTTTCTTCGCTTTATCATACCCTTCTCTGCTGAGCGACATCACGCCTTCCAGACACGTGCGATTGTTTACGTCTGCGAGGTCAGAGGTCGTCGTTATGCGCGCATGTCACGTTTCAACTTCCGCTTCCTGATTTATCAAGGCATGTGCATCGATTAGGTTGGTATTTTCACTGAAAACAAGTTCAATATTCTTCGTAGAAGAGGTAATTTCATTTGTTGTATGGCGTAGGTTTGTTTCATTAAGATTTAGTGTTTCGATGGCATAATCTGAATTCCTAATGACCAGCTGATGACAGAAACGCGAACGATCGCTGTGATTGAATGAATATAGCAGTAGGGGCCTACTTCAAGCAGTTCGAGCGCATGTCAAGAAACGGTGAACAGTCGACAAGGATCCCATGACTACTTTTTAAGTTAGATGGACATGCATAAATTTCACTATAAACATTCAATTTAATCTTTTAATGAGTAAAAGTGTTTGCTGAGTAGTGGCGAGTACCGTGAAGGTGACATTCATAAATTTTACTACATGACGAAATTGTTTTGTTTGACACTTGACAGTACTGTAATCATGGTAATAGGTCTGGAGAAACGAAAAGATAAAGGTGTCATATTGTGATAAAATAATCCTATTATTAAAACATGTATTTTTTATCAAAATCGGTTAGCAGAAAGGAAATTGACTGTTGGGCTTTGGGTGTTAAGAAAATGCTGTTTGGGTTTGGTTTGGGAAATGTTTGGGACCAGCATGATAATATTTGTAGTCAACAGTTTTTAAAAGAATTTCAGCAAAGGTGTAGGGATATTGATAATCAGTTGTATTTTGAGAAATTATGTATATATTCCAGTGTATATCAGTACAAGCATATTAGGACAGAAAATATATTTGAAGATTATATGTCTGTTGAAAATATTAAACCATATAGAATTGGTTTATCTCGGCTACGAAGCTGCTCTCTTGATTTAATGATTCCTGAAGGTAGAAACTTGAATGTTTCGAAATATAACCAATTATGCCCATTATGCATTGTTACCACTGTAGAAAATGAATATAATTTTTGGTGCATTTGTCCATTCTATTTAGATTTATGACAACATCTTCTTCCCAACTATTACATTGTATATCCTACAGAAAGAAAGTTTGTCCAGCTGTTAACATCTGATTATGTTCATGTTATTCAAGTCATGGCTAAATCTACCGTTCTAGCATTTAAAAATGCTGTAAAAGTTTTGAAAATTTTGAAAAATAACAAAGCTGTTGTGTGCCTCCAAGAGAAATGTACAATGATGATTTTTCATATTGTTTACCATGGTTTACTGGGCCGGTGGTATATTTACCAAATTATACGAATATAAAGCATTCATTCATCAATGTGTAAAGTGACTGAAAATTTCACTTGGCTATTTGTTAAAGGCGTAAATATTCAGTTATGTCCATACATTTATTAGATAACACATCCCAAACATTTTGATGTTATATTTCATCACACAGTGACTGAAAATGATAGGATTAAAAGAAAATGAAAGTCAAAGTACATTTCTCTATTTTTTTGGCTTCTAATCCTTGCATGATATTTAGTCGATTGTGATGTTTTTAAGCCTATTTGAATGTGTTAATAATTTCTAGTCAATCTGTAAAATAAATGAACAGATGATTTTACAGTCAATTTGAAAATGACTTAAATATTTAGACATTTTGTAAATTGCCTTAGTGAATCGCAATTTACATTGACACACTGGCTGTAACCTATTCATGCCTACAAGCATTGTCTGTCTCGCATCAAAAGAACTTCCCAACAAGATGTAAAAGAACAAGAATGATTCTGTTCAGTGCTACAGCAAATGAATGAAGACAAAATGCAAATATTGTAATTACAACTGACCAAAGGTATATGTAGGAAATTAGGCAGTTGTCTTGTTCAAGGAATGTATTGGTCGATATCCACATGAAGGAACAATATCCTGTATGTCTGCAGGGGTACAAGACAACTTCTTTGATGTCACATGTCTTTGTAACAATCTAATAGTTTAAAATATATTTATAGTGTTTCGGGATATTATGACTCCTGTTCATTTTTCAACTGATCACATAAGTTTGTTTCAGGTGTTTCACATAGGTGTCAAGACTCATTGGTCAGCTGAGATAGCACACGTTACAACTTTTTTTATGATATCCATGGTTCTTTTAGAAAATCAATTATGTTAGATAACAATGAGCAATCCTTCAACGTCTTGTATTATCGGTTAATCCAAACATTTCACCCCACTTCAGACCTGGATTTAGAGTGAATAATTTCCCCAGACACAATTAATTCCAAATGAATTAAGCGTGAATTAAATGCAAAAAATGCGAGTGGTCTTTGTTTGCATTATTAAACATCACATTTATATCGACAATAAGACATTTTGGATAGGAGAAATACCAACTTAGACATAAGCTGAAAACAAACAGCTATGTAATCCACAACACTGATTTTTTTAGCAGCACTTGTAGTAAGTATATAAACATTGTCATTCAAACACTAATTACATCCTGTGAATTGTCACTGCTGGGGTCAAGACAAGCGTTTTACTTACTTATGTCATCACTGATCACACCTGCAAGTCCCTACAGACGCCACCCACGCAACACAGTGTCTTTGTTCTTTGCCACTACATCAAGGGCAGACATGAGCCAGCGCACATATATTGTTTTAGCGGAAGAACTTTACTCAGCGCTAATAAGCGGTGCTATTTGGTGTGTGATTTGGTTAATGAAAGGATGGATTACGGTGAGGATTCTTCTGTAAACCTGACAGAGGACATTTTCTTTATACATAAATCCACTGATGCTTGAGAGGAGGTGGGTGTCTCATTTATATTGAGTCACATTTTTGGCTAGGGGCCAGTGGTCGCATTCTTTTGGAGACGCATTAGTTTCATGATTTACATCTTCTTTGATCATGGGTAACCAACCAATCAGTGTTCAGGAATGCGTATAGATATTGCCTCAAAGTTTACTTACGCTGTCCTTATAGATGGTAGCACTATTTCTTGTCATGCTAAATTTGGTTGCTGACTGGGATGTTTCTGACTCTCATATCATGTATATTGCTGACTGGGATGTTGCTGACTCTTATATCATGTATATTGCTGACTGGGTCAGTGGGATGTTGCTGACTCTTATACCATGTATATTGCTGACTCGGTCAGTGGGATGTTGCTGACTCTTATATCATGTATATTGCTGACTGGGATGTTTCTGACTCTTATATCATGTATCTTGCTGACTGGGATGTTTCTGACTCTTATATCATGTATATTGCTGACTGGGATGTTGCTGACTCTTATGTCATGTATATTGCTGACTGGGATGTTGCTGACTCTTATATCATGTATATTGCTGACTGGGATGTTTCTGACTCTTATATCATGTATATTGCTGACTGGGATGTTTCTGACTCTCATATGTATATTGCTGACTGGGATGTTTCTGACTCTTATATCATGTATATTGCTGACTGGGATGTTGCTGACTCTTATATCATGTATATTGCTGACTGGGATGTTGCTGACTCATAAATCATGTATATTGCTGACTGGGATGTTGCTGACTCTTATATCATGTATATTGCTGACTGGGATGTTTCTGACTCTAATATCATGTATATTGCTGACTGAGATGTTGCTAACTCTTATATCATGTATATTGCTGACTGGGTCAGTGGGATGTTGCTGACTCTTATATCATGTATATTGCTGACTGGGATGTTGCTGACTCTTATATCATGTATATTGCTGACTGGGTCAGTGGGATGTTGCTGACTCTTATATCATGTATATTGCTGACTGGGGTGTTGCTGACTCTTACATGTATATTGCTGACTGGGATGTTGCTGACTCTTATATCATGTATATTGCTGACTGGGATGTTTCTGACTCTTATATCATGTATATTGCTGACTGGGATGTTTCTGACTCTTATATCATGTATATTGCTGACTGGGATGTTTCTGACTCTTATATCATGTATATTGCTGACTGGGATGTTGCTGACTCTTATATGTATATTGCTGACTGGGATGTTGCTGACTCTTATATCATGTATATTGCTGACTGGGATGTTTCTGACTCTTATATCATGTATATTGCTGACTGGGATGTTGCTGACTCTTTTATCATGTATATTGCTGACTGGGATGTTGCTGACTCTTATATCATGTATATTACTGACTGGGATGTTGTTGACTCTTATATCATATATATTGCTGACTGGGATGTTGCTGACTCTTATATCATGTATATTGCTGACTGGGATGTTGCTGACTCTTATATCATGTATATTGCTGACTGGGATGTTGCTGACTCTTATATCATGTATATTGCTGACTGGGTCAGTGGGATGTTGCTGACTCTTATATCATGTATATTGCTGACTGGGATGTTGCTGATTGATCATATGTTGCTGCTGGTGTTACACATCATTCACTCAATCCATGTATGGTTTCAGGATAACATCAAGAGTCCTTCCACAAAGCAGCTCAGGATGAACTTTGATAGCAAGATGCCATCAGCTGAGGGGGTGGGTGACCCGGAGCTGGCCAGCTTCATACAGATGGAGTCACAGAAGGCCCAGCTTCAGTCACAAATCCACAAACTGTCGGACATCTGCTGGGACACGTGCATGGACAAACCCAGAGACAAACTGGACGGTCGGACAGAGACCTGTATGAGGAACTGTGTGGAAAGATTCATAGATACCTCCTTGCAGATCACCAACCGATTCCAGCAGATGCTTCTACGCGGCACGCAGTGATGAGGCTGACTATCTGAATGATGTGCACATGATTGCCTGAATATATGTGTGAGCTTGACAGAGAGTAGACAGACAGACTCTAGAGGTCAATGTTTAGATCAGTTGTTGACATGATGATTGTGTAGTGAGAGAGTTCACTACACAGTCAGTGCAACACAAGACGAAGAACTCCAAGTGTGGGTAATGGAATGTATTGACCTGTTCTACATGTATAGAGATATTCCAAAGAAAATTGTTTCAACTGTTTTGCAATATTTTCATTCACAAAATTAACAAATGGGTTATGTCTGACCAGACCTGAATGGAAGAACTACATTAAAAGGTTGATGGAGGATAGTCTGCTGAAAACATGGTATTGATCTGAGAAGTAAGCATGTTACACATAGATAACACATTTAGAACATAATTTTAATAGGAGGCAAATGGACAACACATGTGATTTGATTAAAGAACCTTTTGGGAGCAGTCAAACAATTCTTTCGGATAAACATCTTTATTCCCTGGGGTGTTGGGTGGGGTTAACAAATCTGCAAGTTTTTCATGTGACAAATCAGCATGTCAAGGGATTTACAGATTAAATCCATTATAACAGCTCTGTGTTCATATTCTTACTCTGAAAGGTCTGTGTGTCTAAGGTATATACATGAGAATAAGTTGAATACAAAACCAGTTAATTTGATATTCTTGAAACACTGATGGTTACCAAATCATTGCGAATGAGGAATCACTTGACATAGAATCCTCTTTGTGGATGTTCTACTTTGAAAAATTTGATCGGTTTACTAATGGAACTTGGCACAATGTTCACAGCATGTTATTTTCCCATCATTGTTTTGAGTATATGCTGGTAATCAGGATAATGGTCATTCCTGGAAAAGCTGTCAATATGGCTACATTCTGGCAAGTCCTATTATACATGTTAATAATCATGTCATATTTCATGCAACAGTACATTCTAGACAGTTAATAAAATGTTATCCTTTTGTTAGTTGCATTTTAGTTTGTTTGCTGTTATTCATGACAATCAGCAATATTCTGCTAGCTGTAAGTAATCCGGACTGGGCCACAGTGGTGGGGCAGTGGGGTAGCCCAGTGGTTAAATCGCTTTCTCGTCATGTTCGATTACCCACATGGGTACAATGTGTGAAGCCCATTTCTGGTGTCCCCTGCTGTGATAGTGCTGGAACATTGCTAAAAGCGGCGTAAAACCATACTCACTCACTCATACCAGTGGTTGATAGCATGACCAACATGTAGGCATGAGGACACACAGTCAACTAAAGACCCAGCCGTTGACCACCCGATCGTTGACCACATCTGCAGCCTAGTGGATATAGACGCCTCTAGGAGAGCAGAAGGTCGGTGGTAAGATCCTGTGCGCGTTGAAGGCATCATACCAAAAGATAGTAAAAAGATGGTACTTGATGTTACCCTGCCTGGTGCTCGTAATTATGGGCATAAGACAAGGACTGGCCTCACGTGCAACCTTCAACGCAGACCTTCAGACCTGTTTCACCTCACCTCACCTCACTTCACCACCCGATCGGGTGGTCGGGTAGCCTAGTGGTTAATATATTCACTCACCACCCCATCGACCCACAAGACAAAGTTGGGGTACTGAAGTAAGGGACCTGTTCTCAGTCAGATTTTCCAACCACAGGGAAGACACATTCCCACCAAATACTTTGTTAAAGCAATTTCGTTTTAACTGACATTTTAACTTTTAAAGTATATGTAGTGTAATTGGTTTCTGGGCAGGTGGTGGAGTCAGTAGATGCTCTTCAGAAACGTGTGGTCATGTTTAGCCACCTGGGAACCATTATCTTCATTAGCCAAATGAAAAACTTGAAAGTAAAGATTCCTTGTTCCAGAATATCGTGTAACTTGCTCGTGAAGGTCGTTTGGTGATTAAGGGATATTGTCTTTCCGTCTGTGTGCGTTTTATGTTTGATGTAAGTGTTGATGTCGATAGTCTGTTTTGAATGTTAGCTGAACATAATTTATCGTCTGTGTAAAAGCTTGGAATCTACTGGAGACACGACATTTGGAAAGAGGTGTACATATCCCCAGGGTGACCATGGCTGTCATTGGTAATTGGACGCATGGATAGCATTGATGTTTCCTGGACATGAAGTAACTCAAATCTGTATCAAGTGCACTATTCCCATGTGAACACATCTGGAATTAGTGATTAACTCGATACTGAGCACCACACATGACGTCGAATGCTCAGCGAACAAGGTACTACGTCGTGTGCGCCCGCATGCTGAAGTAAATTCACGTGTATGTTCATTTCAGTGGGTTTTGTTTACGTGTAACATGCGCTTCATTGAGTATGAGAAGAAGCAGTCATAAAATATTGTTCGATCGTAGAAGGATTTCAGCGTCCTCATTATTCGACGCCAATTAATGAAAACAAGGCACTGTTGAAGCAGTGTGCGATATACAGAGGCCCCAAAACGAAAACGAAACTGCTCGAAGCTAGTTCTACAAGACCATAACAAGACGCTGTTCGAAGCAGTGTGCCATATAAATAGGCCTTTAAAACACAATTTATATATTGCAAAAATGTAATTAAAAAACTATATGCAAAAGTGTATGAGTATTTAAGTGACACTCTTAAATGATGCCTATAATTAGTTGCGTGCATATTTGTCCACTTCTTTCGTTGTGAAAGATCCGGGGTAGAATAGGTCTTGAGCAACCCATGCTTGCCGTAAATGGCGCCTGCTTGTCGTTAGGGGCGACTAACGGGATCGGGTGGTCAGGCTCGCTGACTTGATTGATGTATGTCATCGATCCCAATTGCGTGGATCGATGCTCATGATATCAATCACTGGATTGTCTGGTCCAGATTTGATTATTTACAGACCGCCGTCATATAAATGGAATATTGCTGATTACGGCGTTAAACAACAAACAAACAAAGCACAGCCTCGTCCCTATATAAACGGGGGATGTGACATTGACGGATAATCCTTTGTCGACGTTCTTGGAGGACAAGTCGTCGATGTGGCCTGGCTGATTGAGGGTGAGAGTTGGTCGACATAGTTGACTGTTGGTGTGTATGTACCAGATACTGGGATAGGTGTGGTAGTGCTGGTTGGAATGTAGAATTCCATATTAGAAACGCAAGGACTTAGTATATGCAACTCTCTCCCTTTACGAGAGGCATGCAAAAATAAACGCCTTGGTTTTGATAACAAACTCGATTTCTTTATGATATTTAGATCTCGTAACGTATTTATTGATGCACATTGTATTTATCTACCATGTACTATAAATCAATTCTGTCTTGGAAGCAAAGTCCAACTGTTTGTCCTTTACCTGTTTTCATAGGCGATATGACATGAATCCTGTCAATGAGAATCTCACAACACGTTACGAGCACTTGACGTCATGGGTGACACGAGGGTCGCAATTTCACAGTAAACGAGCAGAGTGTTTGTTTGTTTTTGTTTTTTTCTTAACTCAGCACTTAACAGCAGCAATATTCCAGCTATATGACGGCGTTCTTTGAATAAGAGTCTGGACCAGACCATCTAGTGACTGACATCTTGAGCATCGATCTACTCAACTGAGATACGATGACATGCATCAACCAAGTCAGCGAGCCTGACCACCCGATCCCGTTAGTCGCCTCTGAGGATAGGCATAGTCGCCTTTTACGGCAAGCATGGGTTGCTGAAGACCTATCTTAACCCGGATCTTCACGTATTCATGAGCTGAGTGAAGCAGATATGTCCAAATGTATACTTTCTTTACCCCGGCAGTTTAGGTTCTTCTGCCCATCAGTTTATATTTCTGTTAATTCAACCACAGTGCTGCATGGCATGTACTGTACCGGGTCAAAACACTCTTGTTCAAAATCAACAATGCCTTTGAACTATATCATAACACCCAGAAGCAAATCTTCCTCTTGACTGCTTCCATGACAGTCACACACCATAATGTTACCATGTGGAGTTGTAGATTACAATAATTACAGGAAGGAATTGACCTTTCAGTGTCCAGAAAGACGCTTGAACCTTGACTATCAAGTCTGAGATATTTTTTACGAAAGTCCAGTTGCTTCTCACACTGACATGGATATTCCTGTGAGGTGTATATACTCCATGAATTCCCGTGCCCCAGTTGTCCGGTTGCTGGTAACCTGTTATCACTACACGGGTATGCAGTCCACCAAGACAACACGTCTCCTCAGTGGATGTAAATAGATCGTAACGTGTTTACAACCAGTGTCTTGTTAAGCAAAGGAAAGCAGAACTCATCCAAACAGATGGTAATTTTGAAGGCTGCGGACATATCGATATACATTATATTACCAATAACGATCATTTTAAAGTAATTAGATAACCCTTTCATGAATTATTAAAAAAAGACTTGTGATGACGTCAAGCTGTTGCTGTTGTCGTTGATTCAGAGCTAGGAATTCACTGGTCATTCTGAACGTGCGCTTTAGGCAAGTCAGACTGACGCAACTACATGTCATTATGCAAATTATAGAGAATTACGATACAAACCATAACATGGTTTTAGTTGGAGAAATCACTGGAATCTGTGGATCCCGGAAGTAGAACCACGAGATTCGCATGGTTTCTCCTTTACCAAACGTAAGTCCAAACGTAGGGATTTATTTCAGGTTTGAGAAAGTAGGGATGTGTTTGAAGTTTCACAACATACATATCTGCAATTGCCGGCTGGCGGAAAAGAATCACCTCTTCCCAGCAAGACCTCTCCCCAACGAGGCGATTCTCATTGAGTCACTCGCATGCCCCCTTCAATTGAAAATCGTAGTGCACACCGTTCTTTGGGTAAGAATATATCTGATCGATCAAAGGAGGTGGGTGTAATCCTCAAACACAAATGTTTTCAAATTCGTAGGCAATGGTCACGATTTATATACATCTAGTCCTTTGTTTCCATTTTTGAGAATGTCAATCTTTAGGAATATGTTCGGGCGAAGATATATTTATCTCTTTTTCAAAGTAAGGGACGCA